GCAGTAGGATTTTGCTCTGGGGAGAAAAACATTTCGGTTTTAGATTAATATTTGTGAAAATGTCTTTTGGGAAAAAATCCTCAGAGGGAGCCAGGGCTTGGGTCAGCATTTGAAACTCGTAAATTCAAAATGAGCTAATAAATTGTCATCGTGCCGTGTCAGCCTCAGGGAGATGAGGGTGCTCAGAGCCGCCTGCCACCGGCGAAAGGCCCCTCCTGGTGCTGGGCTACAGCTCTTGGAGGTGAAGTGTGGTGGAGCTGGACTCCTTTTGCCTGGAAAATCCCTGCTTCAGCATGATTGAAGCCAGTAGCTGGTGATGATCTCCATGATCTCCACCTCTGCACACAAGCACTGTGACTTCTGCTGTGCTTCCTGGGAGAGGTGCAAGCCAAAAGACTAAGAAAAAAGGAATCAGATCAGCAAAATCCTCTAATTTTTCCTGGCTCCAGCTTGCAAAAGCACACAGAGTTTTTCCTGCTCTTTTCTGGAAAGTCTGTTCCGTACGTCAGGCAGGATCAGCACCACGCTGCCTTTTCTTCCTGGAGACAGGGAAGTGTTTGCCATGGCAACATGGCAGGCAGCATTTGGGCTGTGCAGGGGATCTCCTGGGCATTTATGGCTCTGTGAGCTGATGGATGGCTCTGGAAGCAGTGGGGCTTCCTTGTGTCTCACCAGGCATGTCCCTCTGTCACTTGTCCTCGCTGCCTGCAGGGTGGGGACAGTGCAGCCTGGCTTTGGGTAGAATCCTGGAATAGTTTGGGTTGGAAGGGACCTTAAAGACCATCTAGTGCAACCCCCCTGTCATGGGCAGGGACACCTTCCACTGTCTCAGGTTGCTCCAAGCCCCGTCCAACCTGGCCTTGGACACTTGCAGAGATGGGGCAGCCGCAGCCTGGATGGGGGTGAGAAATGGGAGCATTGCTGGGAGCACTGCTGGGCTTTACTGGGTGTTACTGGGAGCTGTCTTTCCCTGGTGGCTCTGGAGCTTCACTGCTCCACAACAATCTTAGCTTTGATCGTGGCTTACAGACCCGGAGCTCCTTTCCTGCCTGCACAGAGGCTCCTCTCTGCACTCTTCTCTCCACCTCCGGATGCTTTTCCCATTACTGTTCTGGCTGGGCTCCCTGCACCAAAAGGGCTGGGGAAGGCACAGGCCAGCGCTGCCCCCTCCCCTCCCCTCCCTGTTTGTGGGATGGGGGCAGAGAGGGCCCACAAATGACATAATGAGAGCATGACATCAGGCTTGGCAGCGGGGCCGGCCCTGCTCTGCCGAGCATTCGATGTTCCGTGGAACTGAGCAGTGCACCAAAAAAGCCTGCCCACCACAGTGCTGCAGAAATAACCCTGAGCTGGGCTCTGCAGGGCCTGTCTGAGCATCCAGGAGGGACTGAGCGAGGCGCTGAGCCCTCCTGCTCACCTCCATCCTCCTGTGTGAGGAGCTGCTGCTCGGTGCTCTGCACCCCCAGAGGTTCCCCGAGCCCACCAGCAGGAGGTCAGGCTGGTGGTGTCCTCACAGATCCATCCTCTCCAGGGGGGTGAGCTGTGGTTATCCACAGCTCTGGAGAGGTTCAGCGATGCACCCAGCATCACACAGGGACCTGGTAGCAGGGCTGGGATGGAGCTGAAGGCTCCCAAGGCTCAGGTTGATGCCCTCATTACTAAATGTTCCTGTAACCAAAGTTTCACCTTCCTCACACAGCCAACTCCTTTTCGAGAAGGATTTTAAACCCTCCCTGTGCTTGGCTGGTCAGTGAAACGTGGCTGTGTTTGCTGGGGCATTTGGGGAGCTGCAAGGGGATCTCTGTAACACAGTTCTTGTCCTGTACCATGGTTGGTGGTGGGTTTTGGTGCCCCATATCTCACAGACCATGAGAAGCCTTCCAGCCTCCCCTGGGATTGCACAGCTCCATTTTGCAGGTGTGGAAACTGAGGCAGGACCAAGAAATTGACTTCCCTTTTCCAGGCAGCACAGCCTGTTCTAAAAATCCCCTGAGACACAGGAAACTACATTTTTCTTTCTCCTCATGGGGAGGGCGTCAGGCTGCATGTGCAGAGCATGTCAATGGAGAGCCTTGTTTGCTGCTGGCTTCAGCTCTGCTTTGAACCTGCTCTGAATTTCCTCCAGCCTGGCACTGGGCTGGGAAAATACAGTCGTGGCAGTTTGTGGCACCGCCAGGCTCAGCTCTGTCCCACAGCCCTTGCCTTGGCTTTTATTGCTCAGTATTTCCTGGTTTATTTTTTTGCTGCAGCCCAGCTTGGTTCACAGCCACCTTTCCCATGCCAGGAAGGCATGCTATGATTTTCCATACAAGCAGGAGAGGGAGCAGTGGGAGAGGGCAGGCAGGCAGCTGGGAGCCCAGCTCCCTGACTCGTGGCTGGAGGTGGTGGGCGCTGGATCCACCACCGTTCCTCAGTTCTCAGTCCTGTCAACAGATCTGCTTCCCTTGCAGGCTCAGCACAGAGGAGGTGGGGGAGGCTTCGAAAATTGGGTCCAACCATTCCCCCAGCACTGCCAAGGCCACCACTAACCCATGGCCCCAGCTGCCACATCCACAGAGCTTTTAAACCTCTCCAGGAATGGGGACTCCTCCCCTGCCCTGGGCAGCTGTGCCAGGGCTGGACAGTCCCTTCTGTGAAGGAATTTTCCCAATATCCAACCTGACCCTCCCCTGGCACAGCCTGAGGCCGTTCCCTCTCCTCCTGTCCCTGTTCCCTGAGAGCAGAGCCCAACTCCCCCCGGCTCCCCCCTCCTGTCAGGGAGTTGCAGAGCCAGAAGGTCCCCCCTGAGCCTCCTTTTCTCCAGGCTGAGCCCCCCCAGCTCCCTCAACTTCTCCAGACCCAGCTCCATTGCCTTGGCATTTCGAGTAACTTTAACATTATTCAGTGAAGCTGACTGACCCCTGGGAGTCAAGGATTTGGGTCTTGGCCTTCCCTTATCTGAAGTTTAAGAGTTTCCTCTGAGATGGAATGGGAACAACAACAAAGGATGTTTGTAAAGGGCTGGGGACAGCGCAGGACCAACCTATCCCGCCTGGCATCGTGGCAGAGGGATGGAGAAGAGCAGATCTGCCCTGCTGGAATCCTTCCCTTCCCAGCTGGGAGGCAGCAGGATGGGAGAGATGCAGGGAGGGCTTGGTGCTGGGTGCCCCAAGGGTTTGGTGCCCCTCTGCCGTCTGTGAGGGTGAGAGCTTCCCCCCTGCCCTGTGCTCCCTCCTCCCGGCAGCCAAGCAGCACTTGGAAGAGGCTCTTGGAAATGGCAGAGCCCTGTTTTTGTAGCAGCTGAACGGTTTGTTTTGGAGGTTTTGCTTGTCTGGGCAAGGAGCAGGAAGGCATCTGAGCTGGAACACCATTTCCTTCAGTCGTGGACTTGAGGTGCTGCCTAAAACTAAATGGGCAATTTCCAGGTATTTCAGAGCAGCAGAGAAGTGTTTGTGCTGCTCTCCCTGGCAGGTAACTGGTTGGTGGTCTGGTCCTTTCTGTACTGCAGGGCCAGAGGGGTGCTGGGTACAGGAGATGCTCAAAGGGAAGGGGATCTGGAGCCTCCCCTTGGAGGGCTCTGTCCTGGCTGGCAGCAGCCGGGATTCCAGTCCGGGCTGTCTTGGGTGCTTGTCTTCCAAGTGGGAGCTGGAAACAGGTTTTGGGGTGACTTTGGTGTCCCCTGTGCAGAATGTGACCCCCAGTGGGCCGTGTCACAGAGCCAAGGGTGCTCTGTGCTCTCCCACTGCTGTCCCAGCTGCCCCCAGACAAAGATCGCTGGTGTGATTGGGTATTTTTGGTAACATCCTTTTTTCAGTGGATTTGTTGAGCTTTTATTTTGCACATTTCTTGTATTTCTGTAGTGGTGTTGCTGGTGAACTCTTCTGAATCCACTCTCAGCTTGGCAAAGAACTCCCAGACAGCAAAATCAGGGAAAATAAACCTTTTAAAGAGACATCCATCCCCATTACTTATCCCCAGAGTTTCCTGGAATCATACACAATTTTCCTGCCAGTTTGACAGAATTGTTTTCATTTGGATAAATGAAGTTTAAATGTCAGATCAAACCAAGGATTAATTGATTAAGGGGTAAAAATAAGCGGTGAGAAAGCCAGGAGAAGTGAGGAGAGGTGCTTGTAGGGTAAGAGGTGAGAAAGCAGGAGGCAGGACATGGTGTGTCCAGCCCTGTCTGCTCCCTGGAGCTCTGCCAGAGATCCGTGAAGGATAAGGACCATCACATGGGCTCAGAGTGTTTTGATGCTGCTAAAAGAAAGTTTAGGCCAAAGGAGATTTGTCTGAAACCAAAATGTGAAGTTTATTGGGGACAAGTGGAGACTGATCAGTGAAACTTTCACTTCTTCTCTGAGTGACATTTAAAATTGGGAAAGAGGAGAGAGCTGGGCTGGATGGGCCAGTTTGGTTTGGATGAGCTGGTGTTACTGGGAGCGACTGGAGAAGTTTTTAAACAGTGTTCCTTTTAGAGGGACAGTCTGCCCTGATATCAAATGGAAAATATTCTTTGTTGCTTCTTCCTCCATTTTAAGCTTTTCCAAAGAGACAAAAAGATGTTTAAAATGTAGAATTGACGCATCAGTTGTGTAATTACTGATCAGAGCTTTGGCACCAGAAACGCTCTTGGAAGTTCCTCTTAAATTTTTCTTAAACTTAATTACTACTTCAGCCGAAATTATTTCTTAATGACTTCTTTGAACATATGTTAGACCAGACTGTGTTTTAAAAGGATGCATCACATTTAGTGCCACGTTTGTCATGGCTGTCATTGCTCCAGGTGTGGGGCACACAACGAGAGTCCTGGTCTCTGTCTACACCTTACATGAGGAGCAAATGCTTTATGGTTGGGAAAGGTGTTTTCTTTGGCTGGGAAAAGTGCTGCGCTTCAACACACCAAACTTCCACTCAGGAGCCTGGCTGGAGTTTGGAGAGAGGCTCTTCTAAGGTCTGGAAATGGAGATGTGACAAAACAAGGTTAAAAAAAGGCTGAAAATGGTGTTTTCTTTCCCTAGGGATCTTTCCAACAACAAGATCAGTGGTTTAGATGTTCAGCTGTTCAGAAGCCTGACTTCGCTGGCAAAGCTGTGAGTACCCCTTCCACCAGCCCAGGTTGCTCCAAACCCTGTCCAACCTGGCATTGGACACTTCCAGGGCTGGGGCAGCCACAGCTTCTCTGGGCAACCTGTGCCAGGGCCTGCCCACCCTCACAGGGAATGGTGACAAAGCTGCAGTGACCGGGAAGTCACTACTGACATGATGAAATTTGCTCTTCCTTTTCCCTCTTTTACAGAGATATAAGCCACAACCAGATTTCTACATTAGAAGATGGAATATTTGATAATTTATTTAATTTAAGTGAAATGTAAGTTCATTCTCTTTGTTTCCCGGTTCTTTTATTTAGACCTTTTCTTGGAACAGCTCTTGCCTTCCTGGTGGGGTGGGATCTCTCAGGGAGATCTTGGGCATGTACCCAGCCAAGGTGCTGCCTTTTGGGGTGTCTCCAGTCTCTTAGTCTGGGCCCTACTCCTCAGTCCTGTTGTTGTCCTTCAAGCCTGACCTCTTCCTAGATTTTGCTTCTGTCTCCTGGATGCCTCCAACCTCTGCCACTGCCTTTTGTCTTCCCTGCTTCTCTCCCACAGCAGCTCTGCTGAGGTTCTTGTCTCTGACCACGCTCTGGGTCACTCTTCCTGTCCTGTTTGTGTGGTCACACCTCGGGACCAGGGGATCTGATGATTCTGCAGCATGGTAGGTCCTGACTGAGGTGTCCAAGTGAAGGTGGTGCTCCTAAGTGATTCAATCATTTTAGGTTCTGTTTTTTAATTGAAGTAATTAAAGCTTTTGGTGTTATGTGGAGGGAGGCAAGGGAAAGCCACACGTTTCCAGACAGATGCATGAAGTCACAGCAGTAATGGCAGTTCTGTGTCTGAAGGAGCCAAAGGATTAACCCCGTGCAAGCCCTCTTGGCAGGCAAGAGAAAAGCTCAGACCCACATTCTCCCTGAGGACAGGACACCAGGGGCATTCTCAGCTCTGCATTTTTTTGCTCTCAGGTGGCTCTAGAAGACACAGAGGCCCCGGGCTGGGTCCCAGGGAGCCTGTCCCTGCTGGGGCTGGTGGCAAAGTGGTGCTTGCAGCCCCAGTCGTGGTTCAGCTCAGCCCCGATGGCGTCAGCTCCACACACAGCTTCCAGCTCTGTCCTGCTCACAGCTGAGTGCCAAAGGCTGTAATTTGGATCAAGCTTAGCTGCAATTAAAGTTTCCATCTTTTCATTAAACTGCCACATGGAAAGATTATCGTTGACTTTGCATTTCTTTTTTTGACAGATCAGTTTTATTCTCTTAGCTATTTTTTAATGGAGCTGTAAATAGTCTCCCAGAGCAGGAGAGGCTCCCTCATATCCAGGGGCTGTTGGATGTCAGATTATTTTAGATATAAGATTGTGTCTGTCATTTGCTTCTAATTGCAACAATTATTTGTAGAGTTAAAAAAGTACTTGGAGTACTTGCCTAATTCTAGCCTCTAGAAAAATCACGTTAATTATTGCTTGATTCCCTATTCATTAGCTCCCCTCCCAGATATTCCAAAGCCTTTCAGTGGAGTGGGACAGATGGGAGCAGGGAGCACACTGCTGTAATTAACGCTTAGCACATGTCACACTAATCCCAAACTATTTCTGATCTCCCTCTGACAGAAACTTAAGTTGGAATCCATTTGTTTGTGACTGCAAACTGTCCTGGTTGCCCCGCTGGGTAGAAGACAGAAATGTGAGAGTTCTCGAGGCGTCAGACACGAGATGTGCCCACCCCCCCGAGGTGGCAAACCTGTCCCTCTTCGACGTCCCGTTCCCCAATGCCACTTGTGGTAAGGAGATGCTGTGGGGGTGGAGGTGGTTGAACCAGGGGCAGTGCTGGGCTCACATCGGCCTCTTCAGACCTCAAGTCACCAGTTCTGATGTAATTAAGCGAATATTGGGCACACAGGCTGTACCCTGGTGCCTCAGGGATCCAGTCAGTCACATCAGGGCTGAGATTAACACTGATTACAGACCAGGCATCAGGCAGCCACCACAGCACACTGGCTCAGCGACCTCCAGCCTCAGGCTTTCATTCTCTCAAGGTTTTAACAGTGTGACTTTAGGCAGTGAAATCTCGTGGGAGCTGATGGGGCCTGGGCACATGCTGAGTCTCTGCAGGTGCTGGGGCTCCACACTGGGAGTGTTGAATGAGCACTGCCCCATCTACAGCCCCTCACCTGCTCCTGGGGCATCTTTCTGACTGTTGGCCAGCAGAAACATCAGGCAGTGATTAACTGGAGGTGGAAAGGGGGACCCCAAAGAAAATTAACGCTGCCTGCTGCCTGGATGCTCACCTCTCCCTGAGTGAGGGAGAGGGAAGGAGAGTGCTCCCCACAGCAGGGATCAGGCATCTCCTTTAATTCATGATAGGACAATGCAGGGCTGAGGGACCTGGAGCTGTGTGACAGGAGGATGCAGGGCTGAGGGACCTGGAGCTGTGTGACAGGAGGATGCAGGGCTGAGGGACCTGGAGCTGTGTGACAGGAGGATGCAGGGCTGAGGCTGAGGGATCCAGAGCTGGTGGGAGCCAGTTGAGCTGCCTGGTAAAGCACAGGCCTACCCAGGAGCAAAATCTGGATTGTAGTTGTTCCTCTTTCCCCAGCAAAGCCACTCCAGCTTGCAGCATCTTGCAGGAATTATCAAAGGGAAAAACACTGGCACTGTTACTCCCCTTGATAATTAGTTATTCCCTCTTGAACTACTTTAAGCCAGGGTGGAAACAATAATGTGAGGCTGTCTTCTGGGTAATTCAGTGTAATGGGAGTAGGCTGGGACAGCCTGCCAGCTACTGACAGTTGTTGCTGACCGGCAGGGAGTGAAGAATGACCAGGCTGGTGGTAAAAACAGAGAGTAGTTCCATGCCGTGGTCCTCCTTGTGGGACTGCTCTGAGGGGAAGGGGCTCAGGGTTCGCAGGAGGGCCGTGGAGGAAGCTGGACAGCTGGATGGGTTTGATCTGGGAAGATCACACGGAGCTGTTGAGATGTTTGGGGGAGATGTTGTAGCAACCAGCAGGAGCAGCGGAGCCAGTGTGGCCGGGCTGCGTGGGCAGAGGCCGAGGGAGAGGCCCTGCCTGGGTGTTTGTGGCAGGGAAATGTCCCAGCCTGTGCAAACCAGAGAAGGGGAATTAAACTCAAGGGAACGGGCTGTTCCTCAGGGAATGGGGCTGTCTTGGCTGCCATTGCTCTCTGTGCCTGTGTCCATGCCTGTGTGTGTGTTGGTGCACGTGTTGTTTCCGGGCATCCTCCCGATGTTTATCCTGCCACAGCTCTGGGCTGCAGGCTGTGCCTGGCATTGCCCTCGTCTCTAGCACCACATTTTGCCTGTGGGTAGGTGGGAAGCTCTTGGCTCTCCCCAGGGAAGGAGGTGGCTGCAGGGACTGCCCAGCTCCAGCGTGGGCCTGGTGGAGAATCCATCAGTGTCTCCCCAAAGTCTCCGATGTGCCACTGCCCAAGGGTGTTTGATTATGGACTTGTTGCTGGCTGTCCCTGGCAGGAACATCATTCACTTGATGAAATAGGCTGCATCAGACCTGGGTACCACCAAGGGACAACCTTTTGTCATGGTCTCACTTGGTGGTGAGTCCTTTGGGCTCCTCTGAGCGTCAGACTCGGTGGCTCCGTGTCCCGTGGGACTGGCAGGCTCTCCAAAGCCTCGTTTTATCTACTGAGTGTAGCTGCTCCATAAATCTGTGTGAGTGGCTTGTTATTTCTGTCATCATTAATTAGCATGAAGAGTTTGGAAACCATTGCTGAGGGATTAAAGACTTCCCAGGCAAGTCTCAAAAAGGAAGTGCTCGGAGTAGGAGCTGTGCAGGAGAATTCCGTGCCCAGGAGCGTGGGGTGGTGTCTCTGGGAGGGTCTCACCAAACCGTGGCTTCCACAGTGTCAGTTTGCAAGAGGATCTTCTCTTCTGTCCCACAGGAGCTCAGTATATCACGTGTCTGACAAACAACCACACGGAAGGCGCTGAGCTTGTCGTGCTCTTCACGTCTGTCCATGCCGGGAACCTCAGCGAGGAGACCTGCAGCGCCCTGTGCTACGCCCAAGACCAGGAATATGGAGGTTTCAGCTCCCTGGGGCAATGTCTGTGTGGAACTGCCCATGAAACAAACTCTTCCTCTGGCTGTTTGCCATTTTGCACTGAGCATTTGTCCGGGCAGGGCTGTGGTGGCCCGTCACTCGTCCCCTCGCCCTTCCAGGCCCAGCTACCTGTGTCTTTCACAGGACTCCAGCCCCGCTACAGCCTGCACCAGGCCGTGCTCTTCAATGTCAGTATTCCCATCGCTGTCAGCACTTTACTGTGGGAATTTGGGGACCAGACAGAGGTTCTCAACACCACTGGAAACGCAGCTGTGCACACGTATGCCTTACCCGGGCGGTACAACGTCACCGCCACCATCCTGGTGGGCACCAAGGTCTTGTACGAGCAGGCAGAAGTTGAGGTGGTGGCTTCACCCCAACAGCTGGAACTGCAGTGTCCTTCCTTGGTCAAGACGAACGAGAGTCTGGACATCCGGATCCGCAACAGAGGCGGCACCGGCCTCGTGGTGCTGTACGGGATCACCCAGGCCGGAGAGCCGGGCAGGGGTAAGCAGGGCTGGCTGGGGGGTGCTGGGCAAGGAAGGCTGGCACTGCATCCTGGCCTTCCCTCGGCCGTCCCAGTGAGGGATGGGAGGGGATGACTCCTTTGGAGGCTTCTTGCTCCCCTGGCTGACCAGGCAGTGTTTTGCACTTCAGCAGCAGATGGGGTTTATTGGCTTCGGGGCCAGGACGTTCCTGGAGCCCCTCTTTCCAGGTTGGCTTGGGACATGTGGCCCATGGAAAGGACACCACGTTTGTGTTCTTTATGCAGCAGTTCACCCCATGTGCCCCCCCGATGGCTTGGTGTTCCCGGGCAATAACCACTGCTACCAGCTGGTGGTGGAGAAGGCGGAGTGGCTGGAGGCCCAGCGGCACTGCCAGGAGCACGGCAAGGGAGAGCTGGCCTTTGTCAGCAGCCCCGAGATCCAGAGCTTCCTGGTTGCTCATGTCATCAGGTAAGTGAGGAGGGAAAGGGTCAGGATCACCTGGGGACAGGTGTAGTGTTCCTGGGGTCACATCTGCACAGGGGTCTGGAGGGAGGGTCCTGCCGTGGTCCAGACTGAGTATGGGAAGGTGGTGGGAATGAGGTGCTGAACAAAGAGGAGGAACCCTCTGAGCAGAGCAGAGCTTGAACCCTTGCTGGACTTGGCTACTTTCCCTGAAGGCTGTGGAGGGAAGAAGAGGAATGGGGACAGAATGGCTGGAAGTCACAACAGGGAATTGAGGATGGGTGGGCACTTGTATCCTGTGTTTGTGCCTGTGGGTGCCTCTGAAATGATGCAGGGCCAGGAGCACACAGGGCTGGGCTGGGCACACCTTCCACTTGAGCGTGGCTGTATACTGCAAGAGAATAGGTTTGGATTGGATATTGGGAAGAAATTCTTCCCTGTGAGGGTGGGCAGGCCCTGGCACAGGTTGCCCAGAGAAGCTGTGGCTGCCCCATCCCTGGAAGTGTCCAAGGCCAGGTTGGACGGGGCTTGGAGCAACCTGGGCTAGTAGAAGGTGTCCCTGCCCATGGCAAGGAGTGGGAATTGGATGGTCTTGAAGGCCCCTCCCAAACCAACCTATTCTGTGATTCCATGATTCTGTGAGTGCAGCAAAATCTACAGGCTCAGGCTGGGTGGTGAAGAGGTCCAGGTCCAGGTACTCGTGTCCAGAGGGTGACACGGGGATGAGGATGCCACGAGGGTGAGGGTGACACGAGCGTGAGCAGCTCCTTCCATCAGCAGAACTGCAGCTGGATTGTCCCATGTTGACACTGTGGCATCGAGCAGCTGCTGTAGCAAAGCCCAGGCCAGTGCTGCAGTCCTGCCTCCCAGGCAGGATCCTGCGCCCTTCCAGACACAGCTGCAGCCTGAAGCCCAGACCCTTTTCCCTTTTGTTTCTCATCCTGTTGACTCCTCTCTGAGTTTCAGGCTCCAGCAGCATCTGTTCCACCTCAGGACTGGGCCTTATAAACAGAGAGCACTGCAAGTGTCAGCCTTTGATTAAATCCGCCCCTCTGAGTGCCCTTTCCCCAGCCAGCGGTTTGGGGGGAGGGAGGACAACCAGGACAGCTCTCAGGGCCTGACAGCCCTTGTCAGCACTCCCAGCTGCAGATGTGGGAGATGGGCTCTTCATAAACACGTCCCAGAAAGCCCAGGGAAGGGAACAGCTGCGTGTGACGTAGGCTTTGAACGGTCCCGCTCCAGGGCTGACAGCCCCTTCTTCCCAAACTTGTGTCTGTGCCTTGTTCCCTTCACACGGGGCTTTGTCCTGAGATTGCAAACACGTGTCCCTGCTCTGGGGCAGAGGGGGCTGTCCCCCTGCAGGGTTAGGAGCTGGTCACTCGGTGCTCTGGTGTGTCAGGCGTTGCGTGCGGGGCCGAGGGGCCGCGGCACGGAAACCACGCGAGCTCAGGGCCGCCCAGGCTGTTCCCCAGCTGCTGCCCCACGCTGGCCTCCCCCCAGCCCCCTTTATTCCCTGTGTTTATTTTATTAATCCATTCAGATAAACATGCAGGAGGCAGTTCCAGGATGCAGTTTCCCTGATGATAAAAGGCAAAGCAGCCGAGCTGCAGGTTTTTGGAACGTGCAGCTCCCATAGTTTCTGATGGGAAAATGGCAGAGGCAGGGAGCTGTTTTCCATTAGAGCAGCAGCACCACTGTCCTCTCCTTCGCTCCTGATGTGGGATGGCCTCCCCAGGAGCAGCCTGTGCTGAGTTGGTCTCTCCCTGCCTCCAGAAGCAGAGGGTGAGACCTTCCAGGGGAACCCACTTTCCCCTCGGGACAGCACAGGGAGCCCCTCTCCCATTCCAAGCCTCCCCAGGCTTGTTCTGCTCCTGCTGCCCCAGCAGGGTAGCTCAGTCCTTCCTCAGAGGCAGTGGGATTCTCACATCTTGCTTCAAAAAAAGTGTGTTCAGAGTCCTCCTGTTTCTCCCTGCAAGGGAACGGGCCAGGCAGTGGGGCAGGGTGGAAGCCAGCCAGCAGCTTCTCTTTTAGTTTCTCCCTTTTTTCTTTCCTTTTTTTTTTTTTTCCTGATGAGTTGCAGTTAGCTCATAGCTGGAATTAGAAAAGGAAAATCTCCCCTGACTTTTCCTGATGGCAGCACGCAGGCAGTTTCCTACCCTGCTCTCCCTAATTCCCTGCCAGTGGTTCGGGAGCAGAACACAGCCCTTATTTACTTCTTAATCATATTTGCAGTGAAAACTACTGATTCACAGAACAGTTATTTTTGTCGTCGTTTTTCAGCATGACCTCATGAATCATTTCATCTGGCGTGGGCCTGGGGGTGGAGAGACACCAGTTATCTCCCCAGCCTGCTTTGCAGAGCCGTGGTACCACCCCAGGAGCTCACTGGGGCAGGCGAGGTCATGGCAGGATTGATTGCAACCTGCAGGAGGGAGTATGGAGAAGGAGCTGAGGGGTTGGAAGGGTGCAGGATGTTAATATGGAGAAGTTAATAGCAGTTAATATGGAACAAATGCCTCACTTTCTGCGGGGTGCGATTAGAAACAGTTGTCCAGGCTGTCTGTGGCTATGAGAGACCGCTCAGCACTTCCCACCAGAATCTCTGCTGGGATTCAGCCGCTTTCCAAATGGGGAAGGGACGTTTCATATTCCTGAAACGAGCCTGGCAGGTTCTTGTGTGTGTGGGGTTCAGCTGCCTGCAGTGCTTTGCCTCTGCTTATCCACCCTGGCTGCTCCCCGAGGGCTCCATGAGCTGCATCCAAGGGAACAGGAGCTGCCAGACCTGGCACCGCTGAGCTTTGATCCTGCACTGGTGCCCATTGCACTTGCAGTGGAGAACTGGCAAATCCCACAGGTCTGCATGGATGAAGCCCAAGTTTTCTGAAGGATTCAGCTTTCTGGGACAGTTCTGTTTGACCCTAACCTTCCTCTTGGGTCATGACTCAAAACAGGCTCAGGAGAGCCTGAGAGGGTCATTTAAGCTGCAGTGTGGGCAGGTCATGGTAACAGAGAGCTCTGCTCCAGGTTGGGGGGAGGTTCAAGTCAACCTGCTCATTACAGGATCATAAAATCATAAAATCACAGAATGATTTGGGTTGGAAGGGACCTTAAAGCCCATCCAGTGCCACCCCCTGCCATGGGCAGGGACACTTTCCACTAGCCCAGGTTGCTCCAGGCCCCATTAAATGCAGCCTGTGACACCCCGATGAAGCTGTTATTATTTTTAGAGAGAACCATAGATGGCAGCTCTCCCAGCTCTTTCTAATACTCATGATTTCCTGAAATCCCCCCTCCCCCTTCATATTTTTTTTGTGAAGGAGCCTCGATGTCTGGATTGGATTCAATGATTTTGCAAGCTCTGGAGCGCAGCAAAGAGGGGAAGGATTTAATCTGGAGAGCTGTCAGAACTGGCTGCCAGGAGAACCCCATCCCTCCAACGCTGACCACTGCGTGCGGATGGGCCCGACGGGCCAGTGCAACACCGACCTGTGCATGGCCAAGCACAGCTACGTCTGCGAGTACAAGCCTAAAGGTGGGCTCTGCCTCCCCTGCTGGCACTGGGGGCAGCCAGGTCACTGGCACATCCTGCTCGCAGTGGCACGTGGCAAGGAAAAATAGGGCTTGGTGGAGAGAGAGGGTCATCTACAGCATCACCGCAGAACAAGTAGGACGTGTAACAGTGTTCCCAAGAGAGGCTTGACTGATAACTTCCAGAAACCCAACTTTAGCCCAAAGGGAAGAATTTGGCCTACTCCAGTCTTTCCCATCAGCAGAAGGAGGGAGAGGAGTGAAGCTTTGAGGCAGAGCTCTGGAAATAGCTTTTCCCTGGTATTTGAGCAACCTCTGCTGCTGGCAGGAGGCCAGTGGTGCTGCCTTGGTGTCCTTCTGTGGCATCGTGTACTTTGTGAGATGTTGGGGTCTGATGACTTCAAAGATGTGAGGTGGTGTGTGCTCTGCAGGTTTGTGTTTATGCAGCTTCCCAGTAGGGAGGAATGAACAGCATTAGAAAGGACATGAAATATGGGAGAAGATTTAGGCCAGAAGGAAGAGCCATTACTAGGAAGAGGCCACTGGCCCTGGTCAGAGGGGCAGCATCAGTCCCCAGAGCCTGATCAGAGGTGTTTGCTGCTGGTGGAAACCAGCTGGTCCTGGCCCCATTTCCCAGGAAATCTGGGGGCACAGGGAGGATGAGGAGTGCATCCCAGGCTCTAAAATTTGAAGCAAATAATTAGTTGCAGGAAGGGAGAAGTGTTTGCAAAGTTCCTAGAAGTCAAAATTGCTGCAAACGTGACTTGTGCAGGATAAGAAAGAAATCAAAACACGTGTGAGAAGAAGAGAGGAGGTACAGAGTTATGGAGCTGCTTCTCCAGCACAGCTGGAGTGACAAATGGTCAGATCCAAGCCCTGCTGCAGCTTTGCAGGGTGGAGGGAATACCTCAGGCCTTGCTGGGTCTCATGGGCTTTGTTCAAATATTTCCTTTGTAAACAGGAGTTCTCCTAAATGCCGAAAACTTCTTTGAGGGCGACGCCGTGTTTGACTCACCCGAGGCCGTGAGGAACGTGACTGGAGCTGTGCTGTCAGATCCATGGCAGGCTGAGGAGGTGAGAGGGGTTTGCTCACCCTGCCCATGCCCAGGGAGCCTGGGGACACACGGGCAGGTGAGAGCTGTGTGTGCTTTGCAGGTGATGGAGTTCCCTGAGCTGGCATTCAGGCACGAGGGGTATCTGACTGCCCTGGAGTTTGTGACACAGGATCTGCATCAGCCCGTCCAAGTGAGGTTCCAGGTGCACAGACCGATGGATGGCGAAGGTGAGGCATCTCCTCAACACTTGTGGACCTTCTGCCTTCAAAGCTTTGACCTTAAAGGCTCAGATTTTGTTTTTTGAGGAGGTCAAAATGCAGAATCTGCAGGGGGGGTTGGACACCCTGAGACTGCCTTGGAGAAGTGGTTATACTGGGAAAAATAATAGAGGGAGAAACCTCTCTCCATGCATGAGGAGAATGTGAGTGAAAGGAGCGTGTGTAGAAGTCAATTAATCTTCTGAGCTGTACTTTTTTACTTTGGGAAGGCACATGTCTAATGGGAATGTGTTCTGGTCCATCTGGCCCCATGGGTTAACAAGGAAGAACATTTCCCTGAGCCCATTTCTTCCTGATGGATGAGATAATCTGAAAAGCCTTTTATTCCTTGTACAACAGCTCAACAGTCACAGTATTGGCAACAATTAATTCTGCAGCAGAATGTTTGTTGTAACTGTAGGGTTGGCTGGTTACAAAAGGATCTTTTTTGACACTGACAAGCTGATACTTTGACATGGAAACATTAACTTCAGAAAAGTTGCTTAATGTGTTTTCAAAGTCAAAGCCAGCTCTGCTTTCTCTTGGACTTGCTTTTGCTCAAGCACAGATCTCTTTTAGAGTGCAAATTGGTGTGTTCTTGCTGGAAAAGAGACAACTTTGGTTTTAATGATCTTTGTGAATTTTTCCAGTAAAACGAGGCACTTCAGTAGCACCAGCATGTGCTGCAGTTTCAGCTTTTACTAAGAGTGGAGCCATCATCAGAGTGGAACAAATGGTGGATTTGGAGGAATGAAGTGCACCAGGAGTGTTACTTGTGAGAATGGTGATCTCTGCTTTCTTTTTCACTTCTTCCAGACTACCAGGAGGGAAACAATGCTACAGAACCGTTCCACCCTGCTCAGGATGACGGGAACTGGACGCTGCTGGAATGTCCTCCTGGTTTCCAGTGGTGTCATTTGACTGATCTGTGCTCGTCCCACAACAACTGCTGCAACGCCACCGAGTGTGCCAGCAATGGTTCCTCTGCCAGCAGCCCTGTCCCTGGGTCCCTGCAGCCCAACCACAGCCAGCTCAGCTATGAACTCACCAAGGAATTTCTCTTTACAATACCAGCTGGCCCCTCTTCCCAGTATCAGGTCAGTGTTTATCAGCTGTTGTAACCAGTGGGTAGGTGGGGCAGTTTTCTCCTGAGGGCTCTGGGTAAATTTGGGTTGTGGCAGATGGAGACACTGAAGTCCATTGAAATGAAAGGATGTGCCCCATGTCACACATGCCACCACACAGCTCCAAGCCATGGGCTCCCTGCAGTAACCTGTTGCCAAGCATAGTTGGTCAGAGGGGTCAAAAGAGGGTGGGCAGGCCCTGGCACAGTTGCCCAGAGAAGCTGTGGCTGCCCCATCCCTGCAAGTGTCCAAGGCCAGGTTGGACGGGGCTTGGAGCAACCTGGGCTAGTGGAAGGTGTCCCTGCCCGTGGCAGGGGGTGGAATGAGATGAGATTTCAGGTCCCTCCCAACCCAACCCATTCTGTGGTTCCATGATTCTATGAAAAGGCCTTGCAGATTCCCTGGGCCATTCCCATGGAATTAACCCAGTGGAGGTGGAGCATAAAGCTGATTTCAGTGTTGGCACATTTTATTCAGGGTGGCCAAGGAGAACAGAGTGGAGAAAGGTCTCCTTGTGCTGTGTTTGGATCTGCAGCTTTTCTGTTGGTTTCCACTTGGCAGGACATCCAGCATCATGCCCAGGCAGGAGCTGGGTGCTGAGTGCTCCTAATCCAAAAATGTCTCCACTCTTTGCAGGTCTCATTCAGAGAAGAAAATATCTTTGTCAGGGCTGGGGATGTCTTCAGCATCCAGCACAATGCAGTCTCGGGCTCCTTCCTGCAGTGCCAGCCCAGTGCCACATCCCCGTCCAGAACCAGCGTCCTCCGTGCGAACTCCTCCGCGTGGGCGCTGGGCCTGCCCGAGGGCTCCGTGGATCCCCCCTGGGTGAACGGCTCCGTGTGCTCCCTGCGTGTCCGCTATGCCGAGGAGCAGCTGGTGCCGCTGCTCAGCCCCCACAATGCGGGGCTGGACCATCCCGGCCTCTACTCGGTCAGAGCCAGCGTGGACAGCGGGGTCTTCAGCGCCAACCTGTCCTGCAGCTTCTGGGTGGCCTCACGGGTGTCGGGCCTGCGCGTCATCCACCCCGCTCCCCAGGGCAGCAGGGTCTACCTGCCCACCAACCACACCACCCTGGTGCTCAAACTGTCCTCGGGGGCGAACGCCACGGCCACCTGGCTGGGGGACAACCGCACCGTGCCCTTCACGGGGGCCTGCCCAGCGGCCGTGGCAGCGCTCACGGCGCAGTGTGCCAGGGAGAACAACGACACCTGGTTTGCTGTGGTGCAGCTGAGCGGCCTCAGGGAGGGGCTCAGCACCCACGTGCTGGTGGCGGAGAACGCCGTGAGCTCCCAGAACATCACGGTCACGGTGAAGGTGGAGGAGCCGATCCGCGGGCTGAGGGCCACCCCGGACCCCGAGAGCAGGGTCCTGCTGAACACACGGGTGGTGAGTGCTGGCTGCTGCTCTTAATTCATCAGCTGGGTTTTCAGCCTTCCCCTTTAGCCTGTAGGGTGTGTGTTTGGCTCTGGGGAGGCTGGGCTGGGGGAGCACTGCTTGCCGCTAAGCTCCCAGGCCGTGCTGCCCGCGCTGCTGCAGACACAGGCATGTGGCACAAGCACTGGTGCTCTCCAGCAGGAAGGCAGCTTGGCTGTACATTCCCTTGAATCCCCTCAGAGGTAAGGCAGTAGCTCCTGCGAGGGGGATACTGGCTTTCCACTTCCACAGGAAACCAGAGGCGTTATGAAAGGCCAGTATTGACCTTCTTTTGACTTGCCGAGGTGTTTAGATTTGCTCTACTAAATCCTTACACAACTGTAAGGATGTAAAACAGCTTCATCTGTCCAAGTCTTGGGGTTCCTCTGGCATTTCCAGTCCTTTTGTTTTCCAGTCCCCTGCCCCCAGAGCTGCAGCCCTGGGAACCTGTTCAGCAGCTGCCCCAAATGCTCTGTTCAAGCTCTGGCTGCTTCCGGCAGATCCTACGCCTGCACCTCTTGGTCTCGCCCTTCCTGGCTGCCACAGTCTGCTCAGGAGGCACTATTGGAGTGAGCACAGGGCAGGTCAAGCCCTTCAGCCTTTGGGTCAGGCACCGTCCATGGGCGAGGGTCAGAGGCTGAGCTTACAGGTGTAGCTAAAGCTGAGTTGTTTCTGTCAACGTAGCAGAAGGTTTTTTAGACCTGATCACAAGAGCAGAGTGCTGGGCTGTGGGAGCAGGGAGTGTGGGGTCTGCTCCCTGCTCTGCTGGTCAGGGTCTGCATTTCTCCATCAGCAGCAGAGCCACAGAGGATGTGTCACCTCTGTGTCATGCTCTGAGGGCACTGTCTGCAGGTGTGAGGTGCCTCCCAGTCTGGCTCTGCTCCCTCTCCAGTTCAGCTGGAGATCTCCTGGGAAGTACTGGGCATGCTTTTCTCTTGCACTAGTGTGAAATGTTCTCATGCCTTTCAGAGCTACATCCCTGTGATGGAGGCTGGGTCAGATGTGACTTTCCGATGGACAGTAGATGATAAGCCATCTTTCACTTTTTACAATGTTGTCTTCAACGTTATCTACCAAAGCCCAGCCGTGTACAAGCTTTCGGTAAGCCAAGGCCTTTCCCATGATACCATTTCATCCCTGGGTTTCCATCTCATCCCACAAACTCAACAGGAAGAGCAGCAGGGACAGGAGAAGGCAGAATTGAGCTGAGGTTTTCACTGTGCTCCCAATGAGCTCATCTGCTATTTCTGACTGAGCTGCTCTTGCAATGCAAATAGTTTTTCTGTTCGTCCATTCCTTCACTTTATTCCTCATCTTTGCTTTCTCCTCTTTTCCCCTTGTTCTCCTTTCTGCTTCTGGAGTGTCTGTGCTTCCTCCTCCCCAGCAGGAATGAGGCAGGGAGCCCCTGCTCTGGGAGACAGGAGATATGGATTCAGAACCAGGCAGAGGCAGGATGCAAACTGTAGGCAGGACAGACCTTCTCCCACAAGCTCTTCTGTTCTCTGTCCTGTTCTCTTTCTCCTGATGCAGACTGGAACTGGGTTTTGTCATGGCCCCAGAAGGATGGAGCAGAGAGTCTGGGCCGAGGGAGGTGTGTGTTGTGGAACAGGAGTTTATCTCTGGCCAGAACATCTCTCTGTGTCATGCCCTGTACTGCCAGGTGGAGTCTGCTCTCGTCCAAGGTGCTTGATCCTCTTGCAGGGTGACTTGGCTTCTCGAGGAGATGCCAGCCCCAGCTCCAAGGCCATGCTAGCACTAATTTGCTTGGTGCAGCACTAATTTGCTGGGTGGAGCACTGTGCTGACAAGCCTGGGGCGCTTTCACTTACAGAGCTGACAAGGTGCCATTAGCCTGGGGGCACTGGGTTCAGTGTAGCAGTCACAGGAGCCTAGACATGAACTTCTCTTTCATGTTGGGGTGGGATGTCTCTGCTCAACTTTGTTTGAAGGATCCCTCTGTCAGCAGCTCCTACAGGTGAGGAGGTGGCAAGATGCTCTGTCACCAGGTGCCCTGTCAGTGTTTCCTGCCTAAATAATCTTGAGGATCCTGCTCTATTTCTGTTGTGTCTCTTCCATCTCTTGCCTCCCTTTCCCTCCTTGGCCCAGCCTTGCTCTCTCTCTCTGTGCCCACCACCCCAGGATCCTGGAGGTGCAATTTATGTGCTTGGTTTTATGAACCTCTCCCATCCCTGCTCTCTGTGCTTGAGGCCACTCATCTGCCACTGTCTCAAGGTGTCTGTTGTCCCCTTGGTGGCCTGTGCTCAGCAGCTGGAGACAGTGTGCAGGGCATGTTGGAGCCAGCACAGGGGGAACTGGCAAGTTCAGAACCAGAGGAACCTCTGGATGAGAAGCTCCTCTCCTTCCCTCTTGCTGTAGCACCAGTCCTTCCTTGCACTGACTGTGCTGGTGGTTCCAGCAGGAGGTGGCTTTGCCAGGTCAGTGACCTGCCAGCCTAGGCTGCTTTCCAGTACCATCCAGGCTCCTGCCCTGCCTCCCTGCCCCAGGGGCCACTCTCTGCACTGGCCAGCTTGCCTGCCTGGTGGGACATCTTCAGTCCAGTGAAGCCCCACGCTCAGGGAGGGCAGCACGGTGAGGTGATCCCCAACACAGCCTCTGTCCCACTGTCCTTCCCAGCTCACCGCCTCCAACCACGTCAGTAACTTCACGGTCAATTACAATGTCACGGTGGAGATGATGAACAAGATGAAGAACCTGACGGTGCTGGGTGTCCTGCCCGTCCTGCCCCAGAACAGCACGGTGGAGCTCACAGCGAGGGTTCACGTTGATTCGGCTGTGGAGGCTCTGTTCCTGTGAGTCCTTTGCTACTTGGGATCTTTCTGTGCATACCTTACCTTACCTGCACTGCTTCTCTTCCCAGGGACAACTGGTCCATCTTTCAGATGCTGCCCAGTTAATTTGAAATGCCTGTGAGTGTGGGTCAGTCAGACTGGCTGGGACCTGTAGTTCAGTTCACTCTTTTAAAGTATTGCAACACTGGTCTAATATTGGGTTCCTCCTCCTCTTACCAGTGCTGTGCTCCTCTCAGCATCAGGCACAGCTTTGATACTTGTCATGCTGCTTCCTATGTTTCCTTTGGAAAACCCAGTCCCGACCTGAAAGACAGGCCAGTATTCCTCTGGGATTTCCATGATTCTCCTGTTGTGCAGTGTAACACTGTTTACCTGTTTCTCCAGGTGGGATTTTGGAGATGGTGTCCAGGAGACACACCTGTTCAAACCTCCCTATAACAAGTCTTTCCTTGTTCCTGATCCCAATGTCCATGAGGTTGTCATTGAGCACAACGTTTCACACATCTACCAAGACCCAGGTATGGTCAGGAAGGTTCTTTGGGGAAGGAGGGGCTTGGGTATTTTTGTTATGAGGGGGCTACGAGACACCGTCCAATAAAACCAAGGCATGGAAGTCGTTACCTTGTTCCTGAGCGAACAGCCAGAGTGACTGGAAGTCTGCAGTTGCCATCCTCTATATCTCTGTTTCTTGGAGAGGTTTGGCCACGCTGTAAGAAGCAGGTCCACCACACACAGTCCATTTTTGGGCAGTCTCAGTGGATGGATGAGGGGCAGGATGAGCACTGTGTTGGTGGGAGGGGTGGGCAACAGGAAGGGTCTGTTCTGTGGGCAAAGAGAAAGAAAATCTCTTCTCTGTACCTGTTGGACTGGCTCCTTACTTGGTGTTTGGTCCTCACACACACACGGCCTGCTGTAATTCCTGCTGGTCCTGGGCCAGAGCAGGGAAAAGCTGGGGTGTGCACAGCACAGGGGCAGACAGGCATGTCCTCACCCTGGTCTTGCTCCGTTCTCTTCCGATGCAGGAGAATATGCCCTGATGGTTGTCGTGTCCAACCAGTTCGAGAACCTCACGCACTTGACCCCAGTTCACGTCCACAGCTACCTGGTCGATGTGAAGGTGGAAGCAGAAGAGGAAGTTTTAGTCGTGAGGCGCCTGGTGACCTTCCGAGCCCGTGCGCTGCCGTCCCCCTATGGCGTTGTGTACACCTGGGACTTTGGGGACAGATCCCCCTGCTCACAGAGATCCAGCCTACAGTGACCTACAGCTACGCCCAGAGAGGGGTGTACAACGTCACCGTGACAGCCAACAACACCGTGAGCAGCGTGGAGACGGTGGAGTGCTACCAGGTGTTCGAAGAGATCACTGGGCTCCGAGTTTCCGCGGGCGAGGCGGCAGAGCTGGGAGCGTCTGTCACCGTCAACGCCTCCGTGCAGACCGGGGACAGCATCACCTGGGTGTTCGACCTGGGGGACGGCACGGTGCTGAGGACTCAGGAGCCAGTGGTAGAACACGTGTACATAAAGGACATCAACTGCACTGTGAACGTGACGGCTGTGAATCCTGTGAACTCCGTCTCCCAGACCGTTCCTGTTCGGATATTTGTCCTGGAGGTGCTCAAAATAGAACCAACCTCGTGCATCCCAGAGCACCCGGACGTGCAGCTCACTGCGTACGTGACGGGAATCCCGAGGAGTACATCTTCGACTGGACTTTTGGAGACGGCTCATCCAATGTCACAGTCAGTGGGGACCCTGGAGTGACGCACAACTTCACCCGGAGCGGGACCTTCCTGCTGTCCCTGACTCTCTCCAGCAGGTTTAACAAGGCTCACTATTTCACCAGCGTGTGCGTGGAGCCGGAGATAGTCAACGTCACCCTTCTCCCTTCCAAGCAGTTCGTGAGGCTTGGGGAAGAGAGCACCTTCCAGGTCAGTGCCGTGCCCCCCTACCAGTACCGCTACCGCTGGGATTTCGGCAACAACGAGTCCGCCAGGTCAAGTGGGACTGAGGTGACCTACACCTACAAGAACACTGGGGTCTTCCTGGTCACAGTGACCGTCTCCAACAACGTCTCTTTCAACAATGACACAGCATTTGTGGAAGTCCAGGAACCAGTTGGGGTAGCCAAGATTGAATATAATGGGACAAATGTTTTGGAGCTGAACCAGATCTACCTGTTCTCTGCCAGCATGAATGGAACCAAAGTGAGTTACTGCTGGGACTTTGGAGATGGCACTACCCAGCCTGGGCAAGTCGCCACCCACTCCTACAACAGCACGGGCCACTACAGCATTACTGTGATGGGCCAGAACGACGTGAGCTCCAATGAGACCACCATCGACGTCACCGTGAAACGTCGGCTCTTTGGCCTGACCATCAATGCCAGCAGGACAGTGGTGCCACTGAATGGGTCGGTGAGTTTTGTAGCCACCCTTGTGGCTGGCACTGCCATCCGCTACTCGTGGATCCTCTGCGATCGGTGCACCCCTATCCAAGGCTCCTCCACAATTTCCTACACTTTCCGGTCCGTGGGCACGTTCAACGTCATTGTGACAGCAGAGAACAAGATCAGCTCGTTGCAGGACAGCATCTACGTCTACGTCCTGGAGCAGATTGAGGGCCTGCAGGTGGCCAGCGGTGACCTGGTGGAGGACATGTATTTCCCAACAAACAAAACACTCCATTTGCAGGCCGTGGTGAGAGAGGGAACAAACATCTCCTACAGCTGGGTAGTGCACCGGGATGGCAATGCTGTACAGAGCTCCACTGGGAAAACCTTCTCCTTCAGCGTCCCTGAAGCTGGGAACTACACTGTCTACCTGAAGGCCACCAATATGCTGGGATGTGCCACTGTTAACAGGACACTGGAGTTTGTTGAAAGCCTTGGTCTCCTAAAGCCCTATGCCTTCCCCAACCCAGCTGCCATTAATGCCTCTGTTAACATAAGTGCCACCATAACCAGTGGCACTGGCATCACGTACGTGTGGTACCTCGAGGATGGCTCCTCTCCTGTTACTTCTGAACCCTTCATTATACACTCCTTCCAAAGCCCTGGGGTGATTGATGTCGTCGTTGGAGCAGAAAACAAGCTGAATTCAACCAATTCAACAATTTCTATCTGTGTAGAGGAGGTTATAGAGGGGCTGAGTATAGGGACAGCAGAGCTGGACTGTAGGTACGTCTCATCAGGCTCCACGGTGGTCTTTGAGGGGGAGCTGCAGAAAGGGACTGAGGTGACCTGGCTTTGGGAGGTGCCCAATGGCACCTTGAGTGGCCAGTCTGTGGCAGTCACGTTCCCCACAGCAGGGCTTTACACAGTCCATCTGAACGCGTCCAACGACATCAGCTGGGCTCTGGCCAGCAGGAATATCTCAGTGCTGGACAGGATCCAAGGCCTGGAAGTTCTCGCCAGCAAGAAGGTGGTGGAGCCAGGGGAACAGGTCACCTTTGTGATCAGGATGTTGTCAGGTACCTCTGTGAGTTACCTGGTGAGCATAAGTGGGGACTACTCTGTGGTGCTCAACGGGTCCCGGTACACCCACGAGTTCACCAAGAGCGGCGATTATTTGGTGACTGTGACCGTGCAGAACCAGATCAGCATCGCCCACGCCCAGGTGCTCATCTCTGTCCTGGAGGCCATCCGGGATGTCAGGCTCCTGAACTGCTGCGAGGAGGGCATCCCCACGGGCACGGAGAAGAGCTTCAGTGCCTGTGTGGGGAGCGGCTCCCGTGTGTCCTTCTCCTGGCGCTTCTCCCTGTGGAAAGAGCAAGGTCGATCCGTGGTCACTGTGTCAGGAGAGAGTGTCTCCTACACTCCAGACGCTGCAGGGCTGCTTGAGATTCACCTCAGTGCCTTCAATGACTTGGGAAGTGTCAATATCACCAGAGCAATCCAGGTCCAAGACCCGATAGTGCAGGTCTCCCTCTCTGCCTCCAATGCCTTTGTCAACAGGACGGCACTGTTTGAAGCCACGGTGGTGCCCAGCAGCAGGAGCGTTGAGTTCTTGTGGAGCTTTGGGGATGGTTCTTCCACTCAAACAACCAGGGTTGCAGTGGCCAACTATTCCTACCTGAGCCCCGGGGATTACCTGGTGGAGGTGAATGCCACCAATCTCATCAGCTTCTTCATAGCCCAGCTCACCGTCACCGTCAGAGTCCTGGAGTGCGAGGAGCCGGAGGTGGAGCTGGCCTTGCCCCCCCAGGTAGTCATGAAGCGATCCCAGAGGAACTACCTGGAGGCACAGATTGACCTCCGGGGGTGCATCAAGTACCAGACAGAGCACCTGTGGGAGATCTACCGAGCACCCAGCTGCATGGACCTGGACGACTCCAGCAGGATCCGGCTGCCCAACGTTGACGTGAACAGGCCCCAGCTGGTTATCCCGAAGCTCGCCCTGGAAGTTGGGAACTATTGCTTCATGTTTATTGTCTCCTTTGGAGACACCCCGCTGTCCAAAAGCATCTTTGCCAATGTGACTGTGATCCCGAGCAAGCTGGTCCCAATCATCGATGGGGGGTCGTACCGTGTATGGTCCAACACTCAGGACTTAATCTTGGACGGGGAGAAGTCCTACGACCCGAACCTGGATGATGGTGAACAGACTCCGCTGTGGTACGAGTGGTCCTGTACGTACTCCTCCAAGGTAAGAGCAGTCTTGCACAGCCAGGGAGCTCCAGCTGCACGTCAGCTCCACTACAAACACGTCTGGCTTGAAATAGCTGCTGACTGCATTTCTGGGGGATGAGGGCTCTGGTCCCTCTCCCGTTAACAATTAAATGTCTCTGATGCCATCAGGGGACAGAGTTAGACTTTGGAGAGGTCAAGTGACCACAAGCTATGGTCACAAGCAGGTCACTGTCCTCACATGCTGCAGTGGTCTGACCCTGCACTGATGGAGGGGCAAGGGAGAACTGCCCTGCAGGTCCTGATGGGAGATCCACCTCAGGAGCACTTTGTGACTTAATGCTTGTAAAATGTCATGTTTTCTGTATTTGCCTCAAAATAGCAAGATGTGGAGTGTCTGTGGATTAGACCTTTTGGTTTAATGTGAGCTTTTTGTGTTTCTTGGCAATGTTTATAAGCCATTTAATGAAGAATTAATTGCTATAAAATACGAATCTGAAGCTCAGATGAAACACAGGAGTATTCCAAGTACTGTTTACTAACCTGAAGAGTAGGATGATGTGTTTTATTGTCCACACACGCCCTGTTTCTCCCACCCCAGTGGTGGCACTGCGCAGCGAGGTCTGTGGCAGTGACTCTGTGTGGACCTGAATGTTTTGGCTGTGGACTAACCCGACTTGCACCCGTACCAAGGAGGGTTTGAAAGTTCTTTTCTCCTTGCAAGCAGAGCTCGGCTGCAGGGTGCTCTCTGAATTTCAGTGCCAGTGAAGGAATTGTCACAATTCCCAAAGCTGAATTAGAAGCAGATGTGGAGTACACGTTCGACCTCACCGTCAGGAAGGGGGGGATGAGTCCCGAGGCAACCAACCAAACCGTACGTACCACGGACAGCTGTCTCTTCTCTCCTTGGGTGCCTGTTGCTGGACACAGCCAAACTGGGAGTCACAGAACTGTAGAATGGTTGGGTTGGAAGGACCTTCCACCTCCTACCATGGGCAGGGAGACCTTCCACTAGCCCAGGTTGCTCCAAGTCTCGCCCAACCTGGCCTTGGACACTTGCAGGGATGGGGCAGCCACAGCTTCTCTGGACAACCTCACCACCCTCCCAGGGAAGAATTAGTCCCCAGATCTTAGGGCAGCACTGGGGTTCTGTAACTGGTCTCATCCAGGTCATTGGCAGGAACAGACGTCGGTACTTCTGTGATAGAACCATCTTACAGTCATCTTCCTTGGGCAGCACTTTTTGCTTGTCCTGCCAAGTCCTTTTAGTTTCTGTATAGAATCATGTAGGTTGGAAAAGATCTCTAAGATCATCGAATCCCACCATGGGCCAGCGAAGGAGTCCAGCCTTGGTCGGTGACTCTCCCGGCACTTTGTGCAGTCCTGGCTCTTCACATGCCACAGCACCAGGGTCTTCCCTGGTTTTTGCCCAGAGAGAGCTTCCTAAGAGCTGGTGCTTAATTCTACCATCAACAGTTCCTCTCTTCTCTCCTTCCAAATTTTGTGAAGGGAGGATTTTCTTAAGTGCATGTTGTTTATGTCACATCAAGCCCAAGGCCAAGCGCACCCGCAGCCCGACGGTTCGTGTCAGGAACATTCATCTGGTGCACTTGGCAATTAGAGGTGTAGTTACTCTGAAAGTGGAAACTCTTACTGCCGGGGTTTGAAACCAGAGCTGGAGGGTGAAAAGAAAAAAAAGAAATTGATAGTCTTTCAAGGACATTCCGTACTATCTGGTTTCCATGCGCGAGCGCAAAACAATGATCCCAGTGTCGCAGGAAATTTGCAAATACTGGAGGAATGAATGGAGCTTCAATGCTCTCAGGCTTAATGCTGGGGAGTATTTATCCTCTTTTAAGAGTCTGCCATGTTAAACAATGTCTTCATTACTGTCTTTGAATTCATAATGCTCGTTATGCCAGGACAGAGGGCTCTGTCCAAGGCTGGACAGGGCTGTTTCCTGGGGGATTAAAGGAATTTAGACAAAGTACAGGGGTCAGAGCTCAATAGCTGTTGTGTCTGAGCCGCCGGTGCCTCTACTCTCTCTGGGTGCTCTGCCAGGAAGGTGTGGTAGATATCTTGAGAAGTGCAGTTAGATTCCAGCTCAAAGCCTGGAACAACATGCTGCTCTCTGGAAAAGGTGGTTCTTCCATCCCTAACCTACAGCCAAAGCAGGGTTTGCTGGGAATTCAGCACAGGGGGCCATAGGGACATTTTGAAAGCAATTTAAGTTGCTAAAGTATAGATAAAGTAAATCCAGAATGACTTAGATTGGCCCAGTTTGGCATTGAGTGGTTCTTGAAAACCAGTGACAGAATTGGGCAGTGTAAGAGCAGTGATGTAGCTTAAATCTGACTGGAAATCCTTTGGGAATCCCTTCCTGCTGTTTTCCTTAGCATAGGCTGGGCTGGTGCAGAGCGATTCCCCCTTTCAGATCTGGGTGCTGGGATGTTACATTTTAGATGTCTGGATTTTGGTGTCAGATCTTCTGATGGAGCCTCTTGCTTTCCCAGGTGTTCATCAAGAGGGGAGGAGTCCCTATTGTGTCCCTGGAGTGTGTTTCCTGCAAGGCTCAGTCTGTCTACGAAGTCAGCAAGAGCTCCTATGTCTACCTGGAGGGAACCTGCCAGAACTGTCACAACGACTCCAAGCTTGGGGTAAAGTCACTAGCCTTTGCTTCACCTTTGGTAAAGGGTTTTTCCTCCATGTTGATTGGCATTTTGCCTGTTATTCTGGTGGCTCAAGCAGAGGTGGTTTAGTCTCTCCTGATCCCCCGAGTACCTCCTGCCCTCCTCTGGTTCCTGATTCCACTGCACAGCATCCCTGCAGCCTGTGGAGTGGAGCAGGTCTCAGAATGGGAAGTCCTGTTGCTCCCAGCAAGCCCAGCATGTCCTTGCCTGGCATTTTCTGCCTGGTTATCTCACTGTTTCTCTTGTTATCACAATTGTATGTTTGTGCTATTAACAGTAACCACCCAGGCCATGTTCAGCTTGAAGCATATAAAGCATGGTATCCCGTGGAGACTCCACCAGTCCTTCATTTATTTCCTGTGTTTTGTACTCTGTATTATGAAATATTCTGTCGGAGGGTGATGTAATCCCAGAAACTAAAGTAGATCTCACAGTGGAAATATTCCCACCAGACATTTTGGAAAGGTTCCAGTTCTTGTTGCTGTAGCACACAAGACTAAAGCTGAATTATCAACTGCAAATTTGGCAGACGCTCCCACTAGAAATCTGTTACTTTTTATAAGAGACTCAATCTGAAAACATTTTAAGGACATAACTGCAGATTTAAACAAAACTTCTCCTGTCTCTCCATCCCTGCAGAGGTGGGCAGCACACAGCTTTAAGAACAAGTCTCTCATCCTGGACAAAACAACAACCTCCACTGGGGACACGGGGATGAACCTGGTGCTGAGGCCAGGGGCGCTGAAGGATGGCGAGGGCTACACCTTCACCCTGCACATCACAGACCTCACCACGGGGGAGGAGGGCTTCGCCTCCATCGACCTGCTCCCCAACCAGCCCCCCGTGGGGGGAAGGTGCTCCCTGTCTCCCGAAGGACCCCTCAGGGCGCTCATGACGAAGGTGCACTTTGAGTGTGCAGGTGAGAGGGTTGGGTGGGCACTGGCCAGTCCTCCCTGCTCCTCACGGGCAAAGCCTTCCCATGGCCAGTGTTGCCAGATGCTCTTCCCACAGATGTTTCCTTTACCCCAAACTCCTACCCCAGGACATTGTTGGCCAGGGCTGAGCTCGGAAGCGGCTTGGCCCATGAACCGCTTTGTGTGCCCGAATTATGGAGCTCTAACACTCATGGTAGCAGGCAGGCAGTTTTATAAATCCTAATTCCTGTAGTTGAATGGTGACATCCAGGCCAGACTGGCTCTTGGGGAAGAAACTGGTGCTTCAGTGCAGGAAAAACAAGATGGTGCCCAAAACTGAGTCACATGTATGTGGGAAGAATCAAAGGACAAAGCACTGGGGCCAGCTCTGCCATGTGGGCTGGATGTTCCCACCAGCAGTTACCTTCCCAACCAGCTGCAGAGACAGCAACAACGAGCCCAGCTTTGGAAAAGTGGCCTGGCTGATGTCCCATAGCCTTGGGCCAAGGACTAAGTGCCTCTGGAAACCAGATTTCCCCAAATGATTAGTGTTAGAGATTAGAGCTGTTTGTGCACAGTGCTGGGAAGCCACGCGGAGAGGGGATGGATGCTGCTGCTTCCAGGGGATGGGTCACCAGAGCTGGGGGAGCAGCAGAGTGTGTTCAGCGTGGTGTGGCTGTAACTTTGGGATGTTTTGAGCTATCCAGAATAATCCTGAAACCCGTCCCTCTTTGGAATGGTGGGAATTTTAGCTCTTAGATTGTTTTTAAGCTGAAGTGACAGAGCAGGACACGGACCTACTGGTGGATGTCCAGCTCTAGCAGAGCCAGCACCTTCACTGGGGCTCACTGGCAAACATACAGTGCATTTCCTAGCCCCCAGAAACTCCCCAAAATTCCTGGAAACTCCAAGGAAACCTTTGTGCGGGTTTTATCCTTGACTCAGTTGTTCCTGAGATGCTGAACTGCCTGAGGGCTGAGCCTCTGTCAGGCTTTATGAGGCTTGTACAGAGGCCGTGGCCTTGGTCGATGCTGTTCCCAGTCCCAGCAGTTATTCCTATTTTTATTTTGATCATGGATTTTGCATAACCCCTTTAAACAGGAGCCAAACACTGTCCCTCTCACCAGAGCAGGGTGACCCTTGCTGGGGACAGCAGCAAGGGCAGATCCATAGAATCATCAGAGAAGCCTGGAGTGGTTTGGGTGGGAAGGGACCTTAAAGCTCATCCAGTTCCACCCTCTGCCATGGGCAGGGACACCTTCCACCAGCCCAGGTTGCTCCAAGCCCCGTCCATGCAGAAGGGCTGAGCGGGGTGGGACACCCCGGGGACGGAAGGAGCACAGCCCAGGCAGGTCAGGCTTTGGGAAGGTGTGTGCAGCCCCCCCGTGCCCTGGCCCCCCTCAGCCCCCCGTGGGGGTTTGCCTTGCAGGCTGGCGGGACACGGAGGACGCGGAGGGCCCGCTGGTGTACATCCTGCTGGCCTCGCGCCGCCGCCGCGGCCACTTCCACGAGTTCTGCCTCTACAAGGGCAGCCGAGCCGAGCACGGCGCCTTCCTGCCCCCCGGCTTCCACGAGAGCGGCTTCCAGGTGTCCGTGTCCGTTCTGGTGCAGGACCAGCTGGGAGCCACCGTGGTGGCCGTGAACAGGTAAGGGATCACCCACAGGGTCAGTGTCCAGCCTGGGCTCCACATCCCGGTCCCGTGGCTGGGCCGCCAGGTCCCTGTCCTGAGGGGCTCGGTGGGTCCTGGGTGAAAGGTCTGCCTCCTGGCAGAGGCTGTTGGCAGGAAGGGGAGGGGAGGCTCAGCAGAAGTGCAGTACAGAGAATTCCAGTCTTTGTGGGTCATCGCTCGAGGGGGAGATTTTCCCAGAAGTTACTGCTTTGTAGAATCTTGGAATCGTGGAAACGTTAAGGCTGGAAAAGACCTCTTAAGATCATCAGGTCCCAGAGCTGGGCTGATGAGGAGCCAGGCCTCAGGTCCATGGTGGTTTTCCTTACAGCTCCTGCAGAGTGGGTACCAGGGTGTCAGCAGGGCTGTCTTTGTGGCTCACCCACCTGCTTCCCTGTTCCTCACCCTTCCCAGCCCCGGTGACCAGTCTGCACCTAACCCAGATCCCTCTTTCCCTTGCAGCTCCATGGAAATTGGCTTACCCGAGGGCTTTCCCAGCCTTTCCCACTGGCTCTACAACCAAACTGACACTGTGCTCCAGGGATTGGTGAAACAAGGGGACCCTCAGCAGGTCATTGAGTACTCCCTGGCCCTCATCACCATCTTAAATGAGGTAAGGAAGCTCTTTGTGCCCAAGTGGGGCCTCCAGAAGTCCTTGTAGTCACCAGGAAAGTTCATGGGCAATTTTATACAACAATGTAGGGAAATTACTAATTCTACAGCATCACCCTCCTGGCAGAATTCCCTTTAAGGGAAGGGTTAGGGCAGGAATTTCAGGCTATACTGTTGTTTTCCTGCCTGGTAAGAGCCTGCTGCACTCATGGAAGCCAGGCAGGGATGATCCCCTGAGCACAGGACTCTGCTAGCTGGGTAAGGACTACACTGGGCACCACTTATCTGTCAAGTGCAAGGCTGTTCAGATAATTGCTTGGAAGGCACAAGCAAAACTGAGAAAGTTCTGCTGGGAAACCAGCTTATTAGATCCCTCTGGGGAGAAGCAGAGTCGGGGAGGTACAGAGGGCATGGAAGAGGTGACTTCAGCTCAGCTCATCATCCTCTGGAACAACCTCATAGATCTCCTCACTCTGTGTGCTTTTGTCCCCCCAGTACGAGCGATCCATGCTTCTGGAACCCGAGGCTGGGAATGAATTTGAGCTCCGGACCTGGACTCGCAACAACATCACAGAGACGCTGAACTCCCTGAAGGTGAACACTGTTGATGACATCCAGCAGATCTCGGCGGCCCTGGCGCAGTGCACGGTACGTTCCCGTCACCACCTCCCACCTCTGGCCGTCCAGCTGCAGCTCAGGTGCTCTCCAGTCCTTGTTGTGCTTCCCTGGCTCCCTCCCCGACACGGGGGGGCTCCAGAAACACTGGGATAACTTGCTGGGGGAGTTGCAGAATCTCTGAGGACAGACTGGGCTCCCATCAGGAGTGGCACGAGTAGAGCTGGACCTGCCTCGGGCCAGGGGCCGGCACCAAGGCCTGGTGTTCCTCCCAGCCCTGTTTCTAGCCTGCAGGATGAGAAACCCTCCTCTGCTCTGCTCTGCTCTGCTCTGCTGCTGACTGGAAGTGCCTTGTTCCCCAGCCAGTTCCCAGTGCTGGGGCTGCTGCCTGGTGGATTGAGGAGGGAAGAGAGCCCAGTTATATAATGCACTTGGGGTTTGGTGGTCAGCCAGGCTGCTCTGGCATGATCCTCCTCCCCGCCCTCCCCGATCCTTGCTCTGGGGACTGGAGTCAGGTACCTTGGCCTGGGCTGAGCTTCCCCTCCAGCCAGGTCAGGGCCCTGCGCAGCGGGAACAGGCGTCGGAATGATGGACTGACTTCTGCATCCCACCCACAGAGTCCTGTCCTGTGCTCCCTTCTCTGCTTCAGAGCCTGCAGACCTCAGAAATCCCTTCTCTCTGTTCATCTTTGCCCAGGGGCTGGGGCTCAGCACATCCCTTCCCGTGCTGGATCGGTTTGTTTCTGTCTCTCCCACCTCCTCCTGCCTCGTGACTCGCTCTTGCTGTGGAAGCTTGGGCCTAGAAACAGAATTTTTATTCCACGAGAAAAGCTGACATTCCAGGATTAGTTTGTGCTCTGGATCGGAATGAAAAGCTTAGGAAAACAGTAATCTAGAATTTCCCAAGGGGTTGAGACAAGTGGAGTTCACACATTCCTTTCCTGTAGAAAGGTCCATCAGGGCTGTTACAGTTCTGATTTTACCTACAGGGGAGGGGAAGAATCAGAATTAGTTTACCCTGGAGGGAAAAAAAAAGAATCTCAGTCTTCTTGGTTGATTCTCCTCCCTGAGTAGGAGCTGCCCTTGGGTGGTTCCTCCCCATAACCCAGTTTCTTCCCCACCTCCCTGATTCCTGACTTGTGGACTCCGATTCACACACTATGTCCTGGCTTCTCAGAGCTTACAAATAAAAGCAGAAAAGGGGGAATTCAAGACCTGCAGATGCTGTTTTGATTCTTCACCAAAACATACGGTGAATCACGTCTCAATCCTATGATGATTAAAAGAAAAAAAGATGAATAAGAGCGAGGAAGGGGGTTGTGGTAACAGCTTCCATGTGTTGCCTCAGTCCCTCCCATCCAGCCTCGAGAGTGCGGGAAGCTCCAGGCCATGGCTGGAACATTCTGTTTCTTGGACACATCTGGGAGCAGAGGGAGGGACATCCATCATGCCTGAGTGGCAGGGTCCCTCCCACAGCTTTCAGGAGTATTTGGAAACTGAAAGGGATTCAGTTAGGGCTAAATCCTGCTTCCATTGATGGGAGCGGAGTGGATGGAGGAATCCTATCCAGCTTTTTCTGGTTGGGTTCTGTAGGAATAGCGTGTAGCCCCAAAGGGATGATGTGCATGGTCCTTACAAGTGAACTCTAGAGAACAGGAATATAGAATCATAGAATTCTGGAATGGTTTGGGTTGGAAAGGACCTTAAAGCTTATCCAGTCCCTCACAGGGACACCTCCCACTATCCCAGGTTGTTCCAAGCCCCGTCCATCCTGGCCTTGAACTCTCCCAGGGATGGGGCAACCACAGCTTCTCTGGGCAATCAGATGCTCCCTTTATTCCTCTTTCCAACCCAAAAGCATCCCCTGTCAGTCTCTGCCGTGCCTGCCTGTGTGTTGGCACATTGGGATGTCATGGGAGGTGGATGGAAGAGTCTTGGAGACACCAGTAACTTGTTGGCCTCTCTCAGTGTGGGCAGTGCAGCCACAGTGTCTGCTGTCCCCTCCCCAGGGCTGGGAAGAGCAGGAGTGACTTTCACAATAAAAAGGTCTTTGCAGGACTGAGCCAGCTGGACTTGTCCACACCTGCCTCCTCTTTCCCTGGGGATGTTCCTGCTCCATCAGACCCTGTTTCCCTTCCCAGGTGGTGAGCAAGGAACTGGTGTGCAAGTCATGCCTGACGAGGACCTTGAACAAGCTGGAGACCATGATGACCATTCTGCAGGGGGAAACGACCCCGGGCACCGTGACACCCACTGGCATCGCTGACAACATCCTCAACATCACAGGTGAGCTCTGTCCTGCAGGCCTGGGGACAGTGACCAGGGCACAGGGCTCCTGCTGAGGGGAGCTTGGGAGGCCTCCTCCTCCTCCTCTGCCATTTGGGGTTTGGCCTTCTCAGGCTGTTAGGAAATTGCATCTGACATGTGATTCGGAGTGTGGCATCCCAGTGGTCTCTTCCCCCTCATGTTTCCCAGGGTTGTCCTGGCTTTGGCAGCTTCTCTGCGGACATTTAAATATGACAGTTGTTAATAAACTCCCTAATACTCCTAATAAACTCACTAATTCTCCAGGGATTTCTCTTTTCAGTAAACAATGAGTAACAGCTATGGCTTCCAGATGCTTGCCTTCTGGTTGGAGTCTGAGGAGGCTTTCAGACCTCACTGGGGCATCTGTGAACCCTGTGTGGAAATTCCCACCTGGTTGACCTGGGAGGAACCAGAGACACATTCTCTGCACTCCTTTCTGAGTGTTCTCCACTTTATGGTGCAAAAACCTAGTAACATATGTTTGTTTTATCCTTTCCTTCCCTGTTTCCTTATCTGTGGTTCTAGTCACTACACAGGAGGAAAATAAAGCCAGTTGTGATTAAGTGTTTCTCACCAAACTTTGTAGATTAGAGAGGTTGCAGGAATTTCTGGCAGCTCTGTTTTTAACTCTGGGCTACAAACACTTCCAGTGGGGAAGGTCATGTGCAGAGTGTGGAGTAACAGTGAGAAGACAGTAAGGGAAGCCTTGTCTGATTGTTTTGGGAAGGTGTCAGGTGTTATCTGAACTGTAGAGTTATCCAGGCTATTTACCACTTCCTCTGTTTGCACCTTCATTTCTCTCCTGGCAGGTGACCTAATCCACCTTGTCAATACAGTTTCACAAGAATCCAAGCCCCAGGAGCTGCTTGCTGATTCCCACAACTTGCTGCTGGCTCCCAAAGCCTACAACCTGTCTTCCAGCCTGATGCGCATCCTCATGAAGTCCCGAGTGCTGAATGAAGAGCCCCTTGAGCTGGTGGGAGGAGAAATTAAGGCCACAGGCAAGAGGTCTGACCCCTTCAACTTGCTTTGCTACGAAAACACGCCAAACTGCCAGTTCTCCATCCCCCAGGCCTTCAACTCCACCCTTTCCAACCTGACGGATGTCATTCAAGTCATGTTCCAGGTGGACTCCAATCCTTTCCCCTTTGGTTACATCAGCAACTACACTGTGTCCACAAAGGTGGCCTCCATGGAGTTCCAGACACACAACGGGGTGCAGATCCCCATCGGGAGCCTGGACTCGGAGAAAGCCATCACTGTGATGGTGTCAAACAGCACAGATCCCGACAACCTCGCTGTTGGCACTGAAGTCATCGAGCCAAGAACCTCTGTCAGCCTGATTGTGGACATGGAGAGCAACAACAGAGAAGCAGGACTGCACTTCCAGCTCACCTACAGAGTCCTCAATGGTAGCACAGACAAATCCATTTCCTCGTGCTCTTTGTTCTTCCTGTGGGAGAGGAGGGCTGGGTGCTGTGACACCCCTCTGTGTCAAGGGATAGCTGGGGTGAGAGAGGATACCAGGGGTAGCCAGCAGGTTCCACACTGCATGGCTGAGGTTCTGGCTGTCTCAGGCATTATCCAGTGCCCAGAGTCATCCTTGTTTGTGGATGAGAAGCCTTTTGCTTTTCTCAGTCCTTCTGTTGAGCCACATTAGCACTGGAGGGAGTTGGTCTAACCCCAATCCCAGGCAGGTACGATGGTATCCAGTGCTCAGGGTTCCTCTGAGCTGCAGTCTGAGAGAGTGCAGTCTGGAAAAGCATCTGTCATGGCTTTCTGCATTCCTGATTCTCCTCCCTGAACACCCACTGCTGGCAGCAGGCCTGTGGTCAAGTCTCCCAGGCGTTTCTGAAGCCCTCTGTGTCTCTCCCCTCCCCACACAGATCACTACCTTGCCAGCGAGCCCGAGCCGTTCATCATGGCCTATCTCCATCACGAGCCTGAGCCCAACGAGCACAACTGCACTGCCTCCAAGAAAATCGGCCTGGATGCCCTGGCTGGAAGTGACCACAAGCTCTACACCTTCTTCACCTCACCCAGGTAAGAGAAATCTCCCTGGTGGTCCCTGTCACCCAGGGATACCTGATACCTGCTGGAGTGTGACTGCAGCTTGTCCAGGTTTCCATCCTCTGTGCACCATCTTCTCAGAGCTGCCCAGCCTTAGCAGGACTCTTCCCAAGGGACTCACACTGACCTTGGTGGGTTCAGGGTTTGCTTTATGCAGCTCATGAAACCCTTTCCCAGAGCAAAGCACTCCTTGTAATCTTGTTCTTGTTCTGCAGTGAAACCTTCAGAGAGCACCTCTGTCCTCACAGCTCCCCTTCCCAGTGGGTGACAGGAGAACACCACATCCCTTCTGGGCTCCCAAAAGCTCTTTTCTTCTTATCACAGCAGTCATTCCTGCAAGTCCAGTTGCTGTCTTGCCCTGGAATACATGTTCATGTCTTGTGTTATTTAGGAGCCATTCCTAGGCATTATCCGAGGAGAAAAGATGGGCAGCTTGGGAATAGGTGGGGCAGGAGTGGAGCCACTGTTGTGCAAGTTGGCACAGCTTCCATGGCTTTTGGGAACAGGATGCTCAAGAGGAATAAATCATCCTAATCAAATCTCCTCTCAGCCAAGATTCTTGGAAGTGTCGTGGGAGTCAGTGGGACACAGGGAAGGGCAAGGGGGAGAGCTGGGCAGGGAGGATGTGCAGTAGAGCTCCAGGTGCTGAAATAATACAAAATGAAGGATTCAGGTGGTCTGGTGAACCTCTATCTGCACTTCCAAAGAGTGTAAATCATACCATGTTCACTGGGCTTCTCCTCTTCACTGTGTGCTTTCCATGGGCACACATCCATCAGAGCAGGCTTTGCATCCCTTCAGAAGCTGGGTTAGTCATCTCCTTGCTCTTTCCCTTGTCCAGAACGGATGATCCCATCCAGAGATACTACCTGAACATCACCAACCACTTCAGCTGGTCTGCAGTGGAGGTGACGCTGGGGCTCTACACGTCCCTGTGCCAGTACTTCAGCGAGCGGGAGAAGCGCTGGAAAACAGAAGGAATTGTCCCCCTGGAGGAGACCAGGCCAGACCAGGCCGTGTGCTTAACCCAGCACCTCACTGCCTTTGGGGCCAGCCTGTTTGTGCCCCCAAACTCTGTCCAGTTCATCTTCCCTGTGAGTACCACCAAGCAGAGGCTGAGCAGTGTTGTCACACGCTGAGCAGGTTGTTGTCACCTCGCAAAGCCTCGGGCTCCTGTCGGCTTCCTGCTTGAGCTGGGTCAGGCTGCCCTGTGCCCACCTGGCACCAGCACAGGCACCTGGGAGCCTTTGGGAGGTGCAGATGGGCACAGCTCACACAGGGCTGTGTCCTCCGGTTGGGAATCCTGGCTGCTGCTGAAAACAGACCTTTGGCAGATGGCTTTAGTCCCTGATCTGGACACCTCACTGTGCGTTCACCTCTTAGGGAGATGCCAAACTCTCCTTCCAGCTGTCACCCAGCGCTGTTTTATCCCAAGGAATTGCACCTGCCAGCTGCTCCCTGCTTCCCAAGGGTATCCAAGCCCTTCCTCGCTCTGTCCCTGTGACGTGAGTGGGAGCAGAGAGCTCCTGGCAGCTGCTGCTGTGGTCCATGGGATCACGTCTGAGCGGAGATGAGAGCCAGGAAGGAGGCAGGGGATGGGAAGAGAGATCCTCCTGGGGAAGGAGAGCTGCCTTTCAACATGTTCCTTTCCTCCCAGGCCCCAGGCCCAGGTCTGAACTACATCGTCCTGCTGACCTGTGCCGTGTGCTTTGTGACCTACTCGGTGGCTGCGCTGATCGTGCACAAGCTGGACATGATCGACCTGCACCGGGTGGGAGTGATTCCCTTCTGCGGGAAGAACGGGATGTACAAATACGAGATCCTGGTGAAGACGGGCTGGGGCAGAGGATCAGGTTAGCCCACAGGCTGCTCCCGTGTGTGGTGCCTCAGGTGACATCTGCATTGTTCCCCTGGTCTCGCCTCAGCACGTCACCCACTGAATGTTCCCTGCAGGGCCCAGAGCTGAGCTGCTGTTTGAGGCAGCTCTGAGCAGTCAGGCCAGGGCTTCCCACAGCATTCCCAGTTCTTATTGGGTGATGATGGGACAGGTCAAAAATCATGGAGTCACAGACTGGTTTGGGTTGGAAGGTTCCTTAGAGATCATCTCATTCCAGCCCCACTGGTGCAGGTCCCTGGCAGGATGGCGGGGCTGGAACGGCCACACCTTGGGTCGGCTTCCCTAAGTGAGCCCCTTCCCTGCAGGTACCACAGCCCACGTGGGGATCGCCCTGTACGGGGTGGACAACAAAAGTGGTCACAGGCACCTGGATGGAGACAACGCCTTCCACCGCAACAGCCTGGACGTGTTCCAGATCGCCACGGAGCGCAGCCTCGGCAGCATCTGGCGCATCCGCATCTGGCACGACAACAAAGGTGGGGCACCAGCACGGGTGGGGTGGGGCACGTGGATGGATCACACACCCCAGGCCAGAACCAGCCTCTGATCCTCCTGATTTCTGGGCCAGGAGAGAGGGATGAGAGCCTGCAGTGGCTCCTGGTGACCTGCTGGCTTCTGGGGCACATTGCTGGGGGAACATGGAGTGTCCATCACAGGGAATTCCACAGACTGGCCAGGTGTCACCCCAGACACGTATGATGCCACATGCTGTGCACTATGACAGTCTGTAAATGTCACCTCAGGGGTGAGCTGGCTGTGCCAAACTTTTCTGGGTAGTGTGCCTTTTCCATCGATGATGATGGTGTCACAGGGAACTGCTGCTGTCCCACTGACAGGTCCTTGTGTGGCCCTCTCAGCTTTGCAGGCTCACACAGGGAATATCTGCCATGGAATATTTCTCCATCTCTTCCCTTTCAGGACTCAGCCCCTCCTGGTACCTGCAGCACGTCATCGTGCGGGACCTGCAGAGCAGCAAGAGCTACTTCTTCCTGGTGAACGACTGGCTGTCGGTGGAGAGCGAGGACAACGATGGCATGGTGGAGAAGGAGGTGTTTGCTGCCAGTGAGTGCTCACCCCGGTGTGGGTTTGGGGTGCTGAGCAGTTCTCATGGCACAGGAGAGCAGAGAGGCCCCAGAACCTCCTCGTGGCAGTGACACCCAGTGCTCTGCTGGGTCTTTTGTGCTGGAGGACAGGGCACAGCGAGGACTGTGCAGGAGAGAACCACAGAATCGTGCAATTGTTAAGGTTGTCAGCGGGGAGGGGTGTGGGGGGCACAGCCAGGTCCCCCCTGCAGCGCAGCCACCCCGAGTGTCCCTCTCTGTCCCCAGGCGAGACGGAGCTGAGGAGCTTCTCGCGGATCTTCGTGGCGGAGCTGCAGCGAGGCTTCTTCGAGAAGCACGTGTGGCTGTCACTGTGGGACCGCCCGCCCCGCAGCCGCTTCACCCGTGTCCAGAGAGCCACCTGCTGCTCCCTGCTCGTCTTCCTCTTCCTCTGTGCCAACGCCGTGTGGTACGGCGTGGTGGGCAACGTCCACCTCAGGTGCGCTGGGCCCTCGGTGCCCTGGCCAGCCCCTCTTTCTTTCTCTGCCCACCTGAAATACCTGGTTGTGCAGTTTTATCTCCTGCTTTCTTACCTGCCAACCCCAAAGGCTCCTGCTGACACCTGTCTTGTGTCTCTTGATTCTCTCCAGCAACGTGGCCGTTTCCAACCTGATCCCTGTGAATGTGGACACGGTGGCTGTTGGCCTGGTGTCCAGCGTGGTGGTTTATCCCCTCTACCTGGTCATTTTATTTCTCTTCCGGATGGCTCGTGGCAAGGTGAGGAGGAGGAGTGGTTGCTGGCTGCTCTCATGGGTGGGATGCCACCAGCTTTGCTTATCTGAGGCTAAATTTTGCCCTTCCTGGGACCTCACCCCTCCAGCACTCACCACTCCACATCGCTCCAAGTGGTCTCTGCACTTCCCAGTTGTGCTGCACCATGGCCAGACCCTTCCCTTAGGGAGTCTCTACCTCCCTCCCTTGACCTCAGATCACTGCCTGGACTCTGACAGTGCCCAGAGACCAAAGGGGCAGATTTTAGGAGCTGTTTAGGCACCTCCTCCCTCTTGATTTCAGTGTGTGACAGTCACTCAAATGCCATGCAAAGGCACAACCCTTTGCTGCACTGGCAGGAGCCCGGGAGATGCTCACTGGAGCCTCTCTAATGGAATGTCTGCCCTGGGTACAGCTCAGCTGGCTGAGCAGAGCTGTGGTTAAGCAGCTGGGAAGGGATTAGCTGGGGATTTTATGACTAGTTAGGCACAATTAACAGCCACATTAAGTATTGCAGCCAACTGCTCAGGGACTGATGAGCAGCAACTGTGTCTGATGCTCCTTGTTCCTGTAAGCACACAGAAACAAGCTTTCAAACTCAGGGGGCTTCCTGGGAGCTTGTGCCTGGGACAGCCTGGGTGGTGCTGGGCTGTGGTGCATGAGGTGTAGTGGAGGATGGGTCTGTGCCTGTTCTCAGCCCCCCTGGGCAGGTCTGGGCTCCCCACCAGAGCAGGGAGCTGGAGGGATCCTCAGCAGCAGTGACAGTGTCACCTCCACCCCTCCTTCCTGTCCCCTGCAGGTCTCCATCAGCCACACAGTGACTCACTCAGACCAGCAATCCTTGGAGATTGACAACTACCTGGACTCCTCAATCCTCGACAGCTCCTTCCCCACCTTCCCCGGGCTCCAGGCAGAGGTAACTGCTTCCTTCCCAAAGCTGGGCAGGCTACAAGGAGCTGTGTGCTCCCTGCAGGGACAGTGTCCACCCCAGCTGTCAGGGGGAGAGCTGAGGCACTCAAGTGCCTCTGGAAAATGCCAGTGCTGGGGGAGAGCACAGCTCAGGCCAATCCCAGATCTGTCTCCAGCTGTCTGTGGGCATGGATCTTCCCGGAGTGCCTGCGGGTTATCTCTGGAGGGGAGCAGGCTCCTGGAGGTGTGGGCCCAGAGCTGGCAGCACCTCCAGCTTCCCAGTGACCTCTGGTGCTCACAACCTGCTGCTTTAGCCAGGCACAGACCAGTGTCACATGCCTGAAATGCCTCTGTTTTCCTCCACAGGCCTTCTCTGAGCAAACCAAAACAGATCTGTTCTTGGAGGACTCCAAAAGGTGAGGAGGTTTCTGGGGATGGAGTTTCTGCTTTGCTGGGCTGGGCTTGTGCTGTTTCCCTGCAGACATTCCTAACCAGTTCCTTTTCTCCTGCTTCCCCACACGGACCTGATGCCCCCATCCGTGTTTTCCCGCAGCCTGGTGCGGTGGCCCTCCAGTGAGGCCCTGCTCAGCTGGCCAGACCTCCTCAGTGACCCCTCCATCATGGGCAACACCATCCAGAAGCTGAAGAGAGGCCAGGCCAGCCGCCACCTCGGGCTCGAGGCCCCGCTGGCCACCGAGGAGGACAGTTTGTCCCTTGGCATTCACCAGGGACAGCCTCGGTACTTCTCTGCCTCAGGTTAGAGAGGCAGAGCTGCAGAGCTGCTGCCATTACCACTGGCTTCACTTTGAAGGGCAGAGGAGGAGGGTTGGGTCTACTTAACAGGGGTTTTAGTCTGGGAAAGCAGAAATCGTGGTGGGGATCAGTCTGAAGTGAGTGGTCCCACACTGCCAGCAGACTGGGAGCAAGAAGGGGTGTGTTTCCGTGGGAGTGCTGCAAGCAACCAGCACTTTCTCGCTGCTTGCAAAGCCACAGTGTCTCCCTGAGCCTCTGTAAGTGGCTGGAGAAGGAGAACTTGGCTCCCTTGAACCAGCAGTTTTCTGCCTGGCTCTGCAGGACCTGGGGCTGGACAGGAGCTGAGGGACAGGAGCAGGGGAGGGCTGTCCATGGAGAAGGACATCACCCTGGCCCTCCTCCTCCTCCCCAGTTCCACCACTTGACTGAGCCCTTGTGTGTGGAGCCATGCCCTGGTGTGTGCTGTGCTCGTGCCCAATGCTCTTTGTGCTCTGTCCCTTCCCCAGACGAGGATCTGATCCGGCAGATCCTGGCAGATGGAGCCAGCGGCATCTCCCACTCCCAGGACCTGGGACCATACATGAGAGCTGAAACAGATCTGATCTCAGGCCTGTAAGTGTTTGGGGGGCAGAGTCCCCACTGAGCCCGAGCCTCCTGCCCCTTGTCCTCCCTCCCAGCTGAGCTGAAATGTCCCTGGATTCGGGACATTTCCATGGGTCACTGTTCCTGCTGGCCATGATTCCTGCAGCCCCCACAGCCAGCGCTCCAGGAGGACACAGTTGTCACCCTTTGCCTCTCAGTGCCAGCAGTGACACAGCTGTCACCCTTCACCTCGGCAGGTCCAGCGTGTTCGGGGAGAAGGTGGAGACTGTCATGATGCAGAAGCTGAACGACAAAGGGCAGAGCGTGGCAGCTCCTCCCAGGGAAGTGAGCAGATCAGCCAAGTCCACATGGACAGGTACCAGGGCTGTGCCCATCAGGGCAGGGGGAGTGTGCAGGGACAGGGGCCATCCCACACAGCAGCACTTGGGGGAGCAGAGGGGAAATACAAAAGCAGTCTTAGGAAAGGCTTGGGCTGTATCTGCTATTTCCTGCCAGCTTCTTTTGGAGCCTGTATCTCTTCGTGTGCTGCTTAGTGGCAAATGTTCGGGATAATCCCTCCAAACTCACCCAGGATGGGTGGGGAGCTCAGCCCTTTCTGTGCCCACTGGATCCCTTTGGCAAGAATGTTCACATTTGCTTTCCCTCCTCCTCCCAGTTGCAGACCAAACGTTCAGGAAGCGCTTGCTCCCCCCCTGGTGCTCCTACCTGGCTCATGGCATCAGCCTCCTGCTCTTCGCCACCTCCACGGGGGTCTCCGTGTGGATCGGGGTGGGCTTTTCCTCCAGCGTGGCCCTCATGTGGCTCATCTCAGGGATATTCAGCTTTCTGGCATCCTTCCTGGTCTGGGAGCCCCTGAAGGTGAGGATACCATGACACACCTGTACATGTGTGTAATTTGTGTCTTGTCCAGCTGCTAATCACAGAGTCACTGAATCGGGGGGTGGGAAAAGCCCTGTAAGGTCATCAGATCCAACCATCAGCCCACCATGTTCACCACTAACCCTGTCCTCGTGCCACACCCACACGGTTTTTGAGCATTTCCAGGGATGGGGACTCCCCCACTGCCCTGGGCAGCTGTGCCAGGGCTGGACAACCTTTCCTGTGAAGAATTCGAGTCAGACTGGGCCTGATGGTCATTGAATGGTCTCTCCCAGCTCCGTATCCCTCAGGAAAGGAAGGATGTGGATGCCAGCAGGAGCAGGGGAGGCAGGGCTGCTGGGAGGGCTGGTGGCACGTTGTTTTAGGGGTAGTCTGGCTGCTCCAGGGAGCAGCTGTGCTGTGCTGGCTGTGCTCAAGGGCCCACAGGAGCTGCTGCTGGGATGCCCGGGTGGCACAGCTCTCCGCAGGCTCAGACTCTCCCTGTCCCCAGGTGCTGCTGGAGGCCCTGTACTTCTCCCTGGTTGCCAGGCGCCTGCACCCCGAGGAGGACGACACGCTGGTGGAGCAGCCCTGCGTGGAGCACGTGTCGGAGAAGATCAGCAAAGTCCGTCCCCCGCAGGGCTTCGCCCTCTTCCAAGCCAAGGAGGAGGCCAGGAAGGTCAAACTGCTGCACAGGATGCTGAAGGTGGGACATCTCCTGCTGCCTGGTGCCCAGGGCAGAGGGCTGAGATGCATCCTGGTGTGGGTCCTCCCAGCCCAGCTGGGATCCCCTCAGCTAGTGGGTGCATGTTTTCAGCTTCTGCCTCAGTTTCCTCGTCTGTAAAAGTCTGGCAGTGATTTTCATCTTCTCTTTGGAGCTCTGAGGGGGCTGAAAAGCAGAACCATGAGGGGGTTGATTTGGAGCAGCTGGTGTTTGGCTCCATAACTCGGGTGTTTGAGGTTAGGGCAAGGTTTGAGTGTGGAGCAGACACCAACTTGCACAGGAAAATTCATTAGTTGAGTCTTTTGAAATGCAACTTCCTGTCTGGGAGCAGAAATTTCAGCCTTTGTAGTTCATTCAGTACTGATCCTCCACTTGTGCTGGGAATACACAGCTGCTTTGATGGAATCAGGTTATTTTTAACTGAGTGATTCCCCTTTAAAGATGGAACCCCCCCATAACTATCGGATAAGCTGAACTGACAGCATATAGGAGCTCTTTCAGCAAAGAATCTTGTTATGAACCTGTGATCTGGGTTTCATTTTAAGCCTCTTCTCATATGAGAAAAGAAAGAACAGCCTGCTCAAGGTCCTGATCCTGCTGCACAGCAGTGGGAGGCACTGCTCTGCTGCAGGATTGGGATCCAGCTCCCCATGCAATCCCTGTCTACTCTCTTTTTCCCAGAATTTCCTCATCTACATGATGTTCTTACTGGTGATCCTGCTCACCAACTACGGAGACTCGTCCCGCACCAGCCGGGCCTTCCTCCTGCAGAGCTCCATCAAGCAGCAGCTGGGCAGCAACGAATTCCTCCTCATCAAGAGGTACCTGCCCAGGCCCTGGGATGGGGGATGAGGTGGTGGTGTGTGTCAGGGAAGCTGGATGTTGGGCTTGTGCTCCACAGTCTCTCCCATGAAAGGTTCCTGACGCCACTGGCAGCACTGGTGTGGAGCTGGGACTCGCACACGAGCCTGGCCTGGCAGCGAGCGGGTCCTGTTTGTGCCTGTGGTTCTGCTTCTCTCTTGGAGAGCAGAGGGGTCTCTGGAGGTGGAGAAGTTTAATTTCTCCATGGGAAGGAGCTATGTGAGTTACTGGTGTTGAACTTACTGGAGCTGCCTTAAAGGACACGAGTTTCTCAGTCTCCAAAATTTACAACCGTGAGGTTTAGCCATGAACAGGGTCACGAGAACCAGAAATGACATCTTGTACAGAGTCCTGCCCTTCCTTGCTCTGCACGTTTGGTTTAAGTGGATACAATTTTCCCAGCTGAGTTTTCACACTACTGGGAATGCCACGAGCCCTTGGTGCTGTGCATGTCAGCATGGCTCGGCTGTGCCACAGTCACTGGAGCTTTGATTTCACCACAGTGTGGCTCAGGAATTATTCCAGTGAGTTTGGTAGAGTTTTTGGGGTGAAAGTGGCATAAAGGGGGATAATCTGGTCCTAAGTAGCATGTCTTTCTCACTGCACTGCCGCATACCCCTGCTCTGATCCTCATCCAGGTGCCAAGTGGATTCAGTCACTTTTAGGTCATGTCAGATAATCCCTGTTCTGACCTCATCCCAGCCCCTGGAAGGGGTGGGAATGTGCCTGCTGGCTGGGAGGAGAGCAGCCAGGTTGGCTCTGCAGTGCTCGGTGCCCCATGCAGGTGAAAGCCCCAGGCTGGGTGAGACACGCAGAGCTGGCCCTGGCTGAGCTGCCCCAGGGCTCTGCCTCCCTCCCACACCGTGTCCCCTCGCAGGTCGGATCAGTTCTGGCTCTGGATGTCGCGGGTGTTCCTCCCGTACCTGCACAACAACGGCTCGGGCCAGGAGAGCCGCAGCACCACGCTGGGCATGGCCCGGCTGCGCCAGCTCCGCCTGCAGGAGGGTACGTGGGCTCTCACACGGGGCTGGGGACACTCCTGGAGGGATGGAATGGGCAGGTCTGGGTGCAGCTGGGGCTGAGGGAAGGCAGCAGAGGTTACACGGGAGGGTTTTAGTTTGTAGTTTGTACTTTAGGGAGCCCCTGGTTCTGCTCTGCAGGGATGAACTGGGGCTGCTGGTCATGGAAGCCTGGAATGGTTTGGGTTGGGAGAGACCTTAAAGCCCATCCAGTCCCACCCATGACACCTTTCACTAGCCCAGGTTGCTCCAAGCCCCATCCAACACTTCCAGGGATGGGGCAGCCACAGCTTCTCTGGGCAACCTGTGCCAGGGCCTCCCCAGCCTCATAGGGAACAATTTCTCCCCAGTTTCCCATCTAACCCTGCCCTCAGGTAGTTTAAAGCCAGTGGTGTATTCCAGGAGCAGAGTGGTGGTTCCTGGTTACCCCAAGGCTGATTGGAGTGCCTGTGCTCTCCACTTGTACCCAGCAAATCCACTCTGAGCTGGCGGTGTGGATATATCATTACTCCTATGTTTTCCTTATTAATATCCATTCTTTTCTTAATCCCTAACTTCTGCAAGCTCCCTTCCCCTCACCCTGGTGAAATCATGGGGATTTACACTGAGGAGAAAGGTTGGGTTGATGTCTGGAGGGGTGGCTGAGGTGTGGAGGTGGAGGGGTCTGGGAGGAGGGAGATGCTGGGGGTGTGAGCTCAGCTGTGGCCCAGTGCTGGCTGTGCTGGACTCCCCGGGGGTGACAGTGTGGTCTCATTCCAGCCGAGTGCCATGCCCAGGACATCCTGCCCGGCGTGGGCAGGGCCTGGAGGAGCTGCACTGACCAGCACAGCTTTGCCACCGCTGACTACGGCACGGGCTGGGAGAGGGCAGGCGGGAACGTGACAGCGGCGTGGGCCCACTCCCCACCCGACCTGGCAGGGTAAGGGGCTGCCCAGCCTGCTCCCACCCCCTGCTCCATCCCCCGTCCTCCAGAGATGGGACAGCTGGTCCTTGCAGACCTTTACAAGGTCTGTACAGTTGGTTTTGTGCCCTGGGTGGTTCCCAGCCCTCCCTTCAGTGAGGCCAACTGCAACCCCTGAGCCTGGCAAAGGGCAAAGGGACACAAATGCCAAAGGGCTTCCCTGGGCACACCCACAGTGGCTGTGGGAGTGGTGGGGGACACCCAGCTTTCCTGGGGACGTGCATGTCACCCCAAACTGTCTGAACAGCAGTGTTGTGCTGTTCTGGGGGGCCCAGGGGCAGAGGGTTCAACTCTCTACCCTCCAGGGCAGAGACAGGGAGGGTAACCCAGCACCCACAGAGCAGCACTAGATTTCTGTTCAAGGGGGTGATGGGAGCTTGTCCTGCACACTGGAGGCATCTTCATGGGCCACCACAGGGCCTGGGGCTGTTCTGAGGTTGGGAACACTGAGGTGGATCAATGCACTCCTGTGATTTGTCTTGTGAAATAAATGCTGAGGCAGCTCTCGAGGGGCAGGATCTGCATCTGCACACCTGCTCCTGCCCTGCCACAAAGGAGAGCAACCAGTGCCCTTCAGCCTCACGCCGTGGCTCCTCTTCCTCTGCAGGATCTGGTACTGGGGTTACATGTCCTTCTACGACAGCAGCGGGTACGTGCAGGAGCTGGGCCCTTCACTGGAGGAGAGCCGGGCCCAGCTGGAGTTCCTGCAGCAGCACACGTGGATCGACAACATGTGAGTGTGGCAGGGGCAGAGGGAGGCCCTGCTGTCAGCTGGGTGTCCAGGGATTCTGCTACAGGGAACGGGATCGCTGATCCCACCCAGCAGTGGCCCCGGAGCTGGTGTTGTCCCAGTGCCTGAGCTGCTCCTGTCACCCTGCAGGAGCCGGGCAGTGTTTGTGGAGCTGCTGCAGTACAACCCCAGCGTGGACCTGCACGTGGCCATCACCCTGCGCCTGGAATTCCCGGGATCCGGCCAGGCCATCGCCGCCCTCACCATCAGCCCCTTCCCGCTGCTGCGGCTCAGCGGGGGGGTCACGCTGCAGCTCCTCATGATGGTCAGTGTGGTACCTCCCCTGCACCCCTCTGCCCTGGGGTCACTGCAGGGGGGCTCTGGGGACCCTCACCCAGGCTGGTCACTGTGCACCCAAGCTCCCCTGCCTGAATCCACTTGTCCCCTTGCCTGTCACCACTCTGCTCCCAGGCCTGGGTAGCACACAGGGAACAGCCCTGGCTCCACTGAGGGGATGGAGGTTCTTCCTCCTCTTGGTCTTGTCTCAGCATTTTTACTTCCTTGAGCTTATGTGTGTCACTGTGGAAACATGAGGGTTTGTTCTGCCCTCAGTAGGGACATCCCCAGAGACCTTGGCTGGGTTGGGTGTCTGCAGAGACCTTGTTCCGCTGGGCACTGCCACCCTGCCACAGGGGCATTGGACATGGGCTCTGGGGAACTTCAGAAGGGGCACTGGATGAGCAGGGAAGGCAGAGCAGGACACTGCAGTGCTCCAGGTGGTGGAACTGAGCCTAGGCCGGGGCCATTTGCTGTCCTGGGTGCAGCACAGCAGTCAAGCATTACCCTCTCCTTCCCTGGTAACCTCTCCATTCCTCCTCTCCTGGTGACCTCTCTGTTCCTCCTTCCCTGGTGACCTCCCTGTCCCTCCCCCAGGTGTTCCTCATGATGTTTGTGGTTTACTTCGTGGTGTCGGAGTCGCTGTCCATCAAGAAGGAGGGCAGAGCCTACTTCACCCACTGGGGCAACTACGGCCAGTGGCTCTTCATCCTGCTCACCATGAGCACCGTGGTGGTTCACCTCAGCCAGGCCACCCTCGCTGACCAGCAGTGGCTCAAGTACCTCAACAACCGCAGGGGCTTCACCAACTTCTACCAGGTGGCCTTTCTCAGCTCCGTGTTCAGCAGCCTGGCCGCGTCCCTGCTCTTCCTCCTGACTGTGCAGGTACGGGGGGCTCGGGGGGAGCAGCACGTGGGAACTGGGGCTTTCCATCCTGCGTGGTCCCTGGTAGGGCCAGCAAAGGACCCTGAAGGAAAACATGCAGGATTGAGGTCCTGATCAGGCACTGGTTGGATGCTGCTGCCACATCAGGCCCTGCTGCAGCGCAGAGGGGTGGCAGGGAGGCCACGTGTGTCTCTGCTGTAGCACTTTGGGTCTCTACAGCCTCTGGGCCCCCAGTTCCCTTGGCAGATCCAGCCAAGTGTGGCTGATGGGATGATTTTGTCTGCAAGGAACCTGTGGCCTGGGATGGTCTGTGCTCTGCCAGGGTTTGTGTTTCTCAGACGTGTGTGAGACCCTCCCGTGCTGGGAGGGGTCCGTGCTGTAACTCCCCCTCTCCCTCCCCAGGCTGCCAGGCAGCTGCGGTTCGTCAGGCAGTGGTCAGTGTTCGGGAAGACCTTCCAGAAGTCGGCCAAGGAGCTCGTGGCTGCAGGGATGGCCTTCGCCCTCCTCCTCCTGGCCTACGCCCAGCTCGGCTTCCTGGTAACTGCCCCTGTCCCCCTCCCCTCACAGGGGGCTGGTTGTGGTGCTGTTGCCCGTCATCCCTCACCATGGCACGACATGAGCAAAGCCCGTGGGCCCCCTGGGTGCTCCGTGCCCACCCTGCCACAGGCAGCTTTGGGCAGGGGCTGTCCTGTCACAGCTGATTCACAGGCCACCGCTCAGGGCCCATGTAAGAGGGGATATCTTGGCTTAGGGGAACGCTTTGCCGCTGATCCCTTCTCATCACATCTCCAATGTCCCCTTTGCAGCTCTTCTCCTCCTCCTCCGAGTCGTTCCGCAGCGTGGGCAGCAGCCTCCTGCTGCTGCTGGCCCTGCTCCGGGGCAGCGGGAGCCTCCGGCCCTGCCTGCCCGAGGCCTCGGGGCTCTACTGCCTGTTCTGCACCAGCTACGTCGTCCTGGAGGTGTGGGTGGTGCTGAGGCTGCTCACGGTGGTGCTGATCCACAGCTACCGTGAGATGCACTTCGAGCTGTACCGTCCTGCCTTCGAGCCCCAGGACTACGAGATGGTGGAGCTGTTCGTGCGCAGGCTCAAGATGTGGATGGGCTTCAGCAAGGCCAAGGAGGTGAGAGCAGCCCGGGGTCTCCTGGAGAAGGGGCCAGGTGTGCAAAGAGCAATGTCCACCATCTGTAGCCTTCATTTGTCCCTGGCCACATCCCACTGCTGCTCACAGCCAAGGTCCTCTGGCAGGCGAGGGCTGGAGCAGTCGCTACTCCTGAGGGCCCAGGGCTGGGTTAGGGATGGGGCACTGTAGGGCCATCAGCTGCCAGTTCTCAGCCCCACAGTTCCACGTGGTTTTGAGTGGGATCCATCCCCCAGGTCCACAGCTTGTCACACAAGGAATAGCTGGGAGCAGCCCCAGGGTGTTTGGAGTGTTCCCTCTTGGAACTCTGAACTAACCCTGCCCCTGCTCCCCTGTTCCTCCAGTTCCGGCACAAGGTGAGGTTCGAAGGGATGGAGCCGCTGCCCTCCCGAGACTCCAGCGACTCCAAGTCCTTCCGGGGCCCCACTCCCAGCGCTGCCTCCGACAGCTCCAGGGCCTCCACGTCCTCCAGCCAGCTGGACGGGCTGAGCCTCGTGCTGAGCACCCGGGACAGCCTGGAAGTGGACGCCGACATCCAGCGCCTACTCTCGCTCTTCGAGATGCTGCTGGCCCAGTTCGACCGCGTCAACCAGGTGACGGAGGACGTGTCTCGCATCGAGCTGCTCCTGGAGGGCTCCCGGAGCCGCCGCTCCTGGAGGAGGCCCCGCGGCCCCGAGGCCGGGCCGGGCAGGGGCTGTGCAGGTGGTTCGGAGCAGGGACCCTCCCCCGAGGTGTCGGACACGGACGTGCAGCCCCCGCTGTCCCCGCGCGGGGCCGGGGCCGTGCCGGGCGGCCGGGGCTCGGTGCCCGGCCGGCTCCTGCGGGCGAGCCGAGGCGCCAGCGCGGTGGCCCCGGGCAAACCCTGCGCTGCGGCCGCGCCGGCCGTCAGGAGGAAACGGCCCCTCCGCGCCAAGAACAGGGTGCACCCCACGGTCAAGTAACGGGGCGCGGGAGCGGTGCCCGGGCAGGGCACGGGGAGGGGTTCGCCCAGGGTGGGCTGTGCCCACCCTGCAGCCTCGGGAGCTGCCCGGCGGCTGGGCCGGCCGGGACACACGGGGCTCTCCCGCCACGCCGCTGGCACGGCCACGGCCTTCCCGGACCCCATGGCCTTCCCGGACCCCATGGCCTTCCCGGACCCCACGGCCTTCCCGGACCCCACGGCCTTCCCGGACCCCACGGCCTTCCCGGACCCCACGGGGGCATTCCAGTGTTACAGAGCGGGGGACGAGGCCGAGCCTTTCCCCTGGGGCCGGGCAGGTGCAGGAGATCCCGCTTGGAGCGGGCACCAGGGTGGTGACGGGGTGCGGGCACTGGGGGAGCGGGACAAAGCTCAGCCCCTTCCCTGCTGGCTGTGCCGGATGGGAAAGGACGGGAGAGCCCCAGGCCTGGAGAGTTTGAACCAAGTCTTGGATTTTTGTCGACCAGACGCACTGTGGAGGAAAGCGACAGCTTTCGAGAAGGTATTTAACCCACCTTGTTTTTTAAGCATAAATAGATATATAGATAAATGCTATCTACGCCCAGATCAGTTAATTTCCAGTATTGGCTACTTTTATCCTCCAGAAATTGGTACTATTATTTGTATTTAAAGAAATCCAATATTTAAAACAAAGGACATTGGAAGCTCCAGCGAGCTCGGCCAGGCTGGGGGGAACAGGGAGCAGCAGCTCAGCCCAAGGGCTTTAAGACCCCGGAGCTGCTCCAACCTCCTCCAATTTGGGGCTCCTGAGGTGCTGGTGTCACCGTGGTCCCCACCTGTCCCTGTCCCCCCGCCGTGGCTCCTGGGCTCAGCTGGCTGCTTGGCTTCTCTAACCCAAGGAATGTATTGCCCTAAGTATATGTATTTTTTTGGTTTACTTGTTCCTATGTACTGCCCAGCACTTTAAACAAGGCTTTCCTCGGCTACAGTGACACGTGCGAGCTAAGAACGGGATAATATATCACAAAAGCAGTATTTTGTTTGTTTAAATCATAAGCTGAAATGGGCAGTGAGGAGGAGAGCGCAGCCCCTGCTCAGGCAGCACCTTCCCTACAGCACAAAGGAGGCAGGTGAAGCCCTGAAGGAGCTTTTTTGGGGTCCCTCCAGCCCTGCCCCCCCGGGACTGGCCGTGTGCTGGGCTACAGCTGCTGGGCTACAGCTGAGCTGGGCCACGGGGCACCCCCAGCTCACAGCACGGGGGTGCAGAGCAGGGCCTGGCCCCCTCCGGGGTCTGCCCTCCCCTCCTCAGCCCCATTTCACCTTATGGCTATTGTAAGTAATTTATATGGGGTGTGTTTGGTTTTTAAATGTATATATTTTTGTATGTTTGCTATATTTTCATAGCATCGGTACCGTGTTCGAAACATGTAGATAGGAGACAGAATACTATTGTCAGAGTTATTTAAAGGATGTATTAAGTGCTTCTTCCTGGGAATGTCCCGTGTATATAAGGATGGGGTGTCTGTGTGTGTGTGGTGCGTGTGCTCTCCTGGCTGAGGGTCGGCCGGGCTGGCTCAGGGCAAGGGGGGGAAGCCCCCAGGGGATTCCTCCGTGTCTTCCAGAACCTGCTCCAGGCTTTGGACAGGCCAGAGGGTGGAAGGGAAGGCTCAGGTGGGCAGTGCTGCAGGGGAGGTGCCTCTGATGCTCCTGGAAGCACCTTCCCATGGCAGGGGAGACCATTCCAGGCAGAGAGAGGGGTCTCCCCTGGCACTTCCATTGCTCCATCACCTGCTGAGCCTCCCATCCAGCCCCAGCTGTGCTGGATACTTTTTAAGATTTCATTCCATGATCCATGTGCTTCCTTGGCTCCTTGGCCACATCCTGTCTGGGTGGCTGCAGGACAGTGGGTGCTCTGTGATGGCTTTAGGACAGGTCTAAGTTACCTTTGGAAAACTCAGGTGCTGTGCAGGACAGATGCTGTGGAAAGGTTGCAGAGGGATGAGGGCAGGAGAAGAGAGAGGGGATCAGTTAAAGTGAGCTGGTGGTTGGTCAGCGTGGAGGTGTTGGAAGAGCAGCTGGCACAGAGAAGTGGAGTGTAGAGGGGAAATCCAATCCTGGTAACCAGGACATGCTGGTAATGGCAGGAAAGGCAGGTGGGAGATGACAGAGAAAGTCAGAGGGAGGATCCCTGCTCAGGGCAGGAGGTGCCTGGAGCAGGCAGAGCCAGCACTTCGTGGCTGAGCCCAGGGCTGGGGCCAGGTGTTGGTCAGCTTTGTGCTCTGTGCTCCAAAAAACCCCCTGGTTTTCTAGCCAGAGATGTAAAACTGTTGGCCCTGGATTTTTTGTTCCTTTAACTTCCCAGGCAGCTGGCTCTGCTCTGGCAGATGTCCCTGACTTATTTGGTGACAATGCCAGTGCAAGCCCTGTGCCCCAATCCCCAAGGCAGTAACAGGAGCAGGGGTGAGGTGTCCCAGGGTCCTGGAATGTGTCCCTGCAGCTGATCATGGCACAGGGCTGGGTCACATCCAGCTCCTAAGCTCCTTGCTCCACTCACAGCTGCTCTGGCACAGCCACGTGGGGGTAGATCCAGCCACCCCCAAGGGCCCTGTGGGAATGTTTAGTGATTGAAATGAACCAAATGAACCAAGCAGGTCTTGGAAATCTCTTGAGGAGCCAAAAATTTCAGTTCACGACCCAGAGTTTAGTTCTCAGCTTGAGTATCCTCATTGAAAGAGGTCGGTGGTAGGAGTGAAGTGCATGAAGGAGACATGGAGGCAAGAGGGGTGAGAGGGCCCCAACTGCTTGGAGCAGCCCTTCCTAAGCTAAAGGGGAAGCTGTAAGAAGGACACTCCCCAAATCCATCAGGAGTTTTGTTCCCAAGTGCCTGTTCCTTACCAAGCTTGCCCTCTGTGTGTGTGTGTGTGTGTGTGACTTGATGTGTGTGACTTACCAAGTGCTTCTTCTAATCAAAGAGGAGCAGAAATGGGATCAGACAACTGCCCTCCCTCTGTCCTTCCCTGGAAGAAGGGAGAGCAGCTCTGCCCCCCACAGTTGTTCCCTGAAGAGCCCAAACCCTCTGTGGTGGGCAGCACCCACAGCTTCCAGCACTCACAGTTCTCAGAGCAGCAGTTCCTTGTTCCAGCATCCCAGGGTCCCCTCAGTGTCCCAGCTAAGGCACAGCTGCAGCCACAGGGACTCCAGTCAGGAGTCACACCCTCACAGCAATAAACTTGACTGGCAGCCCTCGCCAGTAAATCCCCCTGAATGTATATTTCTGTGCCTGTAGTCACCAAGAGATGGTTTCTTATTTATTGTCGTCAATCTCACAACGATGCATCAGGATCAAGCTGCTTCAGTGAAAAACAAAACCCCGATCCGTCGGTTCCAAGGGACAGGGAGGGACTTCTGTAAGTGCCTTTTGTCTTTTTTTAAAAAGAACAGTGATTGTGACCAAAATGCCAATGGTTCAGCATTTCACTGCAAACAAAAATGGTGTGTTTTGTAACTGTGGGGATGCTTCTTAAAAACTGACAAGGTCAAATAAACACTGACTGCTACAACCTGGCTCAGCTGGTTTTGTCTCAGTCCCTGCAGCCCCTCAGTGAGGGGCAAAGCAGCTCCAGCCAGGGCTGCTTCCCCACCATATACTCATGTACTTGGTGTCCAAAATGTTAATTAAGGTCTCCTGCACAACATAAGACACTTCCTTAAATCCTCCAGCCTCTTAAGGCAGCTCTGAGCTGGCATTAGTGACATCAGCTCCTGAGGTCTCCCAAAGGAGACAGGGCCAAGGCAGAGTGTGGCTCCAGGGCTCACACAAAGCTGCCCTGGCTCACCTGTGGTGGGCAATGCCCACAGAAAAGCCCCTCCCCACTGCAGAGGTAACACCTGAAGCTGAACCATAAGGAACATCCCAGTGCAGGGGCTGGAACACAGCCAGGAATCCCCCTGTGTCCAGCACTGGAGGTGAGGGGGGTGGTTACAGGAGCAACACAGATCAGGAAGCAGAAAGGGGGAAGGATTTACAGGATTAGAAAACAGTTGGAACCTTCCCAGGCCAGCAAGAACCACTGACCAGACAAATACTTTATTTCCTTTACGACTCAAACACTCAAACACAACAGACACTTGGTTCCCAAACACCCTGCACAGGCCAGGGGGGGCCCTTCTGTCCCCTCCCCTGGCACTTCACAGTCCCACGTGCACATTGCACTTGCCTTCACCTCACTGCTGTCAGGCATTCCCAAATCCACGCCTCCCAGCCAGGGCCAGAGCAGGAGATAAAGTACTCACAGTATAGTCCAGCTTACGTGGTGTCTCCCAGGTGGGTAGTGTAGTGTCTGGTGCTCACCTCACCTCAAGGTGGGCTACAGAATCCCATTCCAGCTGTGCACAGCTGGGCTGGAAGGGCCTGAACCTTTGAGGAGTCCCAGGAGAGACTGTCACTGTTAGTGCAACAGGCAAAACTCGTGCAGAGACAATGCCCTGAGACGTGGCAGGTCTCCAAAGCGGGTTACAGGAGAAGGCTGGGGTACCCCAGCATTCCTGCAACCAGTGGAAGTTCTGCAGATGGACCTGGAAGTCGGGTCTAGCTTGGGCTGAACACCTGGAGCCAGCCCCGTGGGTCAGACTGTTCATCCCCAGGGATTCCTGGCCCAGCTCTGCCATTCTGCTGCTCTGCCTCCCTGTTTGCTGTTATTTCTGGTGGCAAAATAATTTCTGTCGTGAATCTCTCAAAATACAGAAAAACCATTGGGAATTTAAGCAGCATTTTGGACAGGAGAGAACCCAAATTAACTCCAGAGCTGGCAGCAGAACAAGTCAGAGCCTGGAAAGTCCAAGTGCTGAGAGACTCCAAGTCCAGGTAGGAGCTGGGATTCCAGGGTGCTCAAAAATAGCAACTGGATTTTCAATACTTCATATTTCATTCCCAATAAAGTAATCAAAAATCCCACCATTCCTGCACCTTCATGTAAGGATCTGCAGAATATCATCCTTTGTCTGCTTCCACCAGGAGCTGGTGTGGAAGGAGTCCAAAGAAAGGTTCTGCAGGAAAGTTCCCAACAGAGACAGAAGCCTTGAAATAGCTCAAACCAAATAAAACCAAACACGGTGGGGTTGGTCCTCTCAGAGCTTCTGCTGGGAACAGCGTCCTCCTCAGGGAAGGCCGAGGCAGGAACACCCAAACCTGGCAGGGTTCAATGCCAAGCGCACATGCAAGGAGCACGTCTGGGCCTCCCAAACCCTGTGTCCACACGGGAGCAGGGATCAGCAGGCAGGCACCACAGTCCCACAGCCTCGGCGTCGCAGAGCGCGGGCTCTACACAAACTCGGTGAAGTCGTCCACGGAGGAGATGAGCCGCTTCCGCTGCCCCGTCTCGTAGGCGGGCGGGGGGTCCTGGGGCACCTGGGCAGGGGGCTTGCTGGGGGCAGAGGGGTGCAGCTGCAGGGGGAGGCCAGGGCTCTGGTACTGCGTTTCCTCCCGGAGCTGAAAGGCAAAGGACAGAGGAGGCAGAGGTGACTTCGCCTGCCGCCCGGCCCAGCCCGGGCCCAGCCCCGGAGCGGCCCCGCTCACCCGGTGCCGCAGCCTCTTGATGTGCCGCAGCCTCGCGATCCACTTGGACGGGTAGGTGTCCGTGGGGTTTGAGCGGCTGTGGTGGACCTGGGAAGCCATCTGGTTTGGGAAGGGTGGGGGAGAGGCAGGGGGAGAGAGGGGCCACATCAGCATAACCGCGACAACAAAATTAACAGAACTTTTCAGTGCATTTTGACAGCGACCGAAATACAGCTCTGAGTTATGACTGTTCGTGTGCCAGCTCTGACTTCAAGGTCAAGTTAGAAAACTTATTTCTTTGCTTTAGCAAGCCCTGCTTGTTCCCTTGGAAGCTGGTGATGGCCCGAGGCACCAGCTGGAAGCCAGGAGGTCTCGGGGAGCTCGGGGTACTCACGTTGGCATGCAGGGCCATCTGACGGGCCACGAAGGGCAGGTTCTTGTCCGAGATGATCTTGGCAACACTCGTGTCCACAAGACCCTCCATGTCTTTCATTTAAAGGAAAAAGAAAAAAAATATTTTCACACAGTTAAGAACAAGGCAAAGGTTGCCAGTAACTAAGTAAGTAATAGAAACCTGAGGAACTGTATCACAGAAGTTCCCGCTGAGCTCCACAGCTCCCACTGTAACACATCTTGTACTGTAAAGAACAGCCTGCTGGGCTCTCACATGAACCAAAATGTGAGCCAAAAACACACACTAGTGCCCCTTTGGTAAGAGGAAAACACCTGCACCAGCACTGCTGAACTCACGTGGAGCCGTGGCTGGGTCCTGCAGTGCTGGGAGAGACAGCAGAGGCCAAAGCCAGAGGGAGCTGCACCTCCCCTCTCCTCCAGCATTCCCAAGTAATTGTTGGAGGGATTTGCTCTACTGTTGGAATTTGTCTTAACCTTGAATATGAGTGGTACAATGGGAAGATAACTCTTATCTTGGGGAAGATATATGAACGGGACAAACCCAGATGCAGCTAGGCAAACTGGTTCCAGAAAGTTTCTCCTGTAAGTTTTCACTTTTGAAACACAACCCCACTGCGCAAGGAAGGCAGTTACTGACCCCCAACGTGGGAAGGGCTGAGGGATCCTCACCTTTCCGACACTGCAGCGTCACCAGGTTACAGTCATAGTCCAGGGGTGTGATGATCACGTGCACAAAATTGAACTGGCCCTAAGGAGGAGACAACAGAACAGTCAGAAACATTTCCCTGGCAGCATCGTGGCCTGTGAACCCAGCAAGGCCAACAACTCCTGATCTCCACACTGTTTGCTAAGGCACCACACCAGATGGAGCTTCACAACACACCCACCAGGAAAACCTCGTACCTTTATTGTTCCCAGTTTAAAGTCCTCTCCTGAGTCATTGTAAACGATGGAAACAAAATCGTTCCCCAGGTGCCTCTTCTTGTCACAGCGGTATTTATCCAAATCCTTGGTGGGCATCAGAGTAGCAATGTGGAAAATGGCTGGACAGGGAAACAAAAATCCTCAGGTTGGGCTGGGAAAGCAGCAATGGTCACACGCCAGACAAAGCAGTAGCAGCACCAAAATAATAAAAATACAAGTTGTGCTCCCTCAGTAAGTTTGTCCCCACGTGTGACAGCTGAATCCAGTCCCATGGGCTGCTCCCACACAGAATGCAGTGGTCAGTGGAAAGGAGCAGAGCACCGTGGGGAGTAGAACCGGCTTTAAGGAGGAAAGAGTTAAAATAGCTTAAACCAGGACTTGCCCTGCCTGAGCACCAGGACCTGCAGCATGGAACTGGACTTGTGATGAGCAGAGCGGTGTGGAAAAATCAGGAAAGTTCATAAGATCTGCTGGATCCCGGCTGATTTCTGCACTGTGGGTGCTGTGGGAGCTGGGTGACACTGCAGTGCAAGGAGCAATGGCCACAGCAGTGACACCCCCTGCTCAAAACTGCTCCTCAGAGAAACAGAGCAGAGCTTTGACACCACCTTCAGTGCACAGCCTTCACAGCAGCTCGGGAACAACCAGCTTGCTCTGCAAACTCCACACCAAGCCCTACCGACCCTTAGAGAGCAGGCTACTTTAAAAGTGCAGTGATTTTTCTTTTCTTAAATATTTAAGGCAGGCCTCTTGACCTTTAACACATGGCTTGCAGAGATATCAGAAAGAACAGGAGCCCCAGGTCACCTTCCCTCCATCCCTGGAAAGGAAACAGTGTGCAGAAGGCAGGTAGGTCAAGGTGGGAAGAGACAGCCCATCCTTCCAGCTTCTGGAGCCCCCTCACCTTGCATGATGTCATCGTGCCAGCAGTAGGTAAACTGGCCGTCCTCCCCACACACGTCCAGGCCCCCGAGGTAGATCTTGTCTGGCTGACAGTCTTTGAGCTCAATGAGCTTGCCCAGCCCCGTGAGGAACTCGGTGTAGCGATAGGAGCCGTGCTCGTTGGACAGGATCGCGATCTCGTTGTTGCTCTGGGACACAGGAACGTGGCACAGTCACTGAGTGCCGAGGGCTTCGTGCAGGCATTGATTTTTACTGCCAGGAACTGAGGAAAAGCAAGGCATGCAGGAGCAGGACAAACCCCAGAGCTGCAGGGGCTGAAGGCCCTGCACACACTCACCTGGCCCTCCCCCACGTAGAGAACCGCAATCTTGTGCGTGTCGTACGACGGGATCTGGTCCAGCAGCTGCACCGACCTCTCAAACGTCTGCAACCAAAGCACTGCTCACACCCAGCAGCTGGGCCAGGGGAAGGTGTCCCTGCCCAGGGCAGGGCTGGGGCTGGGGGGTCTTTGAGGTCCCTTCCTACCTGAGCCATTCCAGGATTCTGTGATCTTTAAAAAATTACCTCCACACATCCAGTGCCTGCACTAAACCCCCTCTGGGACAGAGCAAGCACAGATTCCTGACCCTCCCTAGTGTTTTCCCTGCTGGATGCTGCCCTGCATGGGCACAGTGCCCGTCAGCACAGGGAGAGGGCAGTGCTCTGTGGCATCTGGCACCAGCTCTGCTGGGTTTACACTCCAGTGACAGTGATCTGCCCAAGTGC